ACCACCGTTCGACAAGCGCTACGGTGGGGGTGGCCTCTCTCACCGTTCGATCAAGCGCTACACGGGGGGTTTGGCCTCTCCAGCCGTTCGACAGGCGCTACACTTGCGCGGGTGAACGACACATCCCAAACAGAGGGAACATAGGGACGCGATTAACACGCAACCTATAAAAGGGCCTCAAGCCGTGCTAGGACATCGCAATAGAGGCTTGAAGGAACAGGGTAAGGACGGGCTCTCCTAGAGTGATCTGGGAATGCCAGCTAGTGCTGGACCTTTTGTCGAAGCGCGAACGGAGAGGGTGACTTCCTCGCCGTTCGACAAGCGCTACAGATTGCGCGGACGAACGGCACGTCCTAAAAAGAGGGAGGATACGGATGGACACGTTCGACAAGCGCTACAAGTGCGCGGAAGAACGATACCTCCTGAATACAGGGAAGATACGGACGGACGGGATTAGTCACCCTGTCCGTTCGACAAGCGCTACAGATTGCGCTGAGGAACGACAGGTCCTCAACAGAGGGAGGATACGGACGCGTTCGACAAGCGCTACACCTGCGCAGAAGAACGATACGCCCTGAACAGAGGGGACATACGGACGCGATCAACGCGTAATTTATAAAAGGCCTCATACGAGAGGCTTGAAGGAACTGTGTGGGTAGCTATCCACAGGCCAGCTACCCGCAGGGTAATTACTCGCAGGGTAATTACTCGCAGGGGAACTACTCGCAGGGGAACTACTCGCAGGCCAGCGACTCGCAGGCCAACTTCCCTCAGGGCAACTACCCGTAGGGAAAATACACGGAGGGAGACTACACGGAGAAAACTATTCGGAGGCCAACTACTCGGAGGACAACTACTCGCAGGGGAACTACGCGGACGGCAACTACTCGCAGGGCTGCTGGTTCGAGCAACGGGTCAAACCACAGCCATATATGTGCGAAGGGAGGGCCGCCGAACAGCGATCAACTGCCTATCTTGTCAGGGCATCAATCGGATCGCCTCTTCGGTCTTGCACAAAGTCCCAGGAGTCGGAGCGTGGTTCTGAGCAGCCAGCGAGTCGTCTCCCTCCAGAACCGTCGGCGACGGCGAATTTGTGCTCAGCCACTGAGAACGGGCTCTCCCGGAGTCATCTGGAAGGCCCCTGGCAGTGCGTGAGTGAAAGGTGGACGGTCGTCCATTGTTCGGCGAGAACAGGCGGGCATTACTTAGGAATATATATATATATATTGACTATGCATCCAACAAGGGCGCCGAACAGGCTGTTGCTCGTATTTGTGCTCGGTATCGCTATTTTCCAATACTGCTTCACGCATTCTTGTCCTTCTCTTTGCACACATGCATTGTCTCTGTGATCCCACCGCCATACAACCATCCCTAGCCATGGCTGCCATCTTACTTCTTCCCGGAAACAGTGGAGAGACCGAGGGGGAGGAAGGAGGTGGTCATCAGTCTTCGCGGTAAGAGAGCTTCCGCATTTCCGCCAACCTCCCCTGCGCTGCATCGAGAGCATTCCGCAGCTGGAGGATCTCGACCTGCAACACAATCACCAGTCAGCACATCGGTCCCTGGGAGCCACGGCGACGAGAAAAAGAGACAAAACACTTACCTGCTGCTCCATTTCCCTGACCTTGAATTCATGTCCACTCAATCGGGAGTAGTCCATGGATTCGCCTTCATCCCTCGCCTTCTGCTTGATGATATCCTGCACCTGCCTGACCAATCCACGACACGCCGCACCCACGGCCCTGCTGGCCTGCTCCAAGCGGTCCTGTGTCTTAGACATGAAGCTCGCCTTAACCCGAGAGGCAGCAACAAGTTGTGCCGTCGAGGCGGCGACGTCGTTCGACGCCACAATCAACTGCTCTGGCGAGTTGCGGCCGGAAATGACACCGTCAGCAGTCTCAATGAGGGTGTTGGTCGATGTGGCAACGGCCTTTGCGGCGGAAATGAGCCCCTCGGTCCAACGGTTGTTTTTCTTGTAGAATGCCGTCCGGGACGAAGACCCTCGTCCCTCGCGGACTATTTCATTCTGCGATTCAGTGGCCGCTTTGATCAATTGCGCAATGGCATTGGTGACGGCGAGCGCAGCCTCCAGGATTGAGTCGTTGATCTTCAACTCATACGTGGAATAACCCTCACGAGGCTTGTTCTTCAGCTTGGCAAGACGTTGCGCAGCGGCATCGATCGCGTTGGCGGCCTTGGTCAACTCCGAGTCCACCAGGTCACCCAAGTCGCCGGTGGTCGTGAGCTTGCTTCCGCGGGGTGCAAAGGCATCGGCGAGTTTAGACAGCTTTTGCAGTTTCATGAGCACATCGTGGTTGCTGTTGATGACCACGTCGGTTTTCTGCACGGTTTCCAGCCCTTCGAGGCGGAAAGACTGTAGGTTGCGGAAAAATTGGACGGTTGACATGGCAGACTGTCGAGCGGCATCCACCAACTGGTCGGCTCTCTTTTCTTCGGTCGCGAAGCGAGTCAGACCCTTTGTATTTGACAAGACATCGGCGATGGACGCTGCAAAGACGGAGACGGTTTTGATAATGTCGGCATGTGGACTGTTGGGACCATCCGCGACAAAGTTATTGAACGCGGTGGAGAACTCGGTCGCACTTGCCGAGGCCTTTTCGATCTGGGATAAGACGTAGGGAGCAGTAGCGTTCTGGTTGCCGGCTTGCATGGGAGAGTCGAGTTCGTACATAGCGTCATCCACTCGTTGCACGCCGCTCTGAAGGACGGAGTCGATAATGTCGTTGATCTTGTCGACTGTGGTCTTGATCACCTCGTCAATGGCACCGTCGAGCGCCCCATCGGACTCGCCGTGACCCAACTTTAGTTCTTCAAGTTCCTCCAGGGCCTGTTCCATCCCCGATTTGTAGATCTCAATCTCATCATCCTTCTCGCGGAGGGCGGCTTCGTGGTCGTAGTTCCGTTCGCCTTGCTTGGAGCGGATATCCTCAAGTTGTCTGGTCTTGCTCCGGACTGCGTCCTCCAAATCGGCCATCTCACGATTGTACTTGGCCAGCATCGATGACAGTTCAGATCCCTTGGACCTCTCAGCATCCTCAGCTCGCTCCAGTGCAAGTCTCAATTCACGTTTCAACTTCTCAACTTCTTCCCGGTTGGAACCTTGTGCTCGGTCCTTTTCGTGCAAAGCGCGATCGCGTTCCCGAATCATGTCGGCGAGCTCTAGGTTCTTCGTCTTCATTTCGCGCTCAAGGCGTTCTCGGCGGTCGATAGCTTCCTGGGCTGACGCCGCTTTCAGCTTGAGGGATTTGGTGGTCTGCAGAAGATCAAGGTGCTCTTGCCGGAGTTGCGAGTACAGCTTGGCCAATGCCTCGTACTTGGATCGCCACGTGTTGACTTGTTCCTGCAACGCAGCAATCTGGTCATCCTTGGATTGAGATTGCATTTGGAAGTTGGCGTTGAGTTGCTGTAGCTGCTCCTCGAGGGCCTTCATGCGCTGGTCGTATTGCTGAAGCATCAACTGATCCCGCTCATACTGTGCACGGGCGTTGAGGTTCTCTCGCTCCAGCTCAGCCAAGCGACCTTGCGTTTGGGCAGCGTACTGGTCTCGAAGAAGTTGTTCTTGGGCCAGACGTTGTTGCTCCGCCTGCAGTCTCTGTTGTTCTTCAAACTGACGCTGCGCCTCTTGCTGTGCCAGCATTTGTTGCCTCTGTTGCTCTTCCCATTGTTGCTGCAGACGTCGTTGTTCCGCCTCGTACTCTTCTTGTTGTCGCTGAGCTTCTCTTGTCCAAAAGTCCTCAATGTCCTTCTGCGTGTCGGGTGTACCGTTCTTCGCAACTGGGGTGGGAGGTTTCTCGATTTCTTTGGCGGGCCGCTTTGGGAGCGCAGGCCTTTCGTCGTCGTCGGCAAGGAGATTGGGAGGGTCTTGAGGAAGTTTCGGAACGGTAATGAGAGACGTGAGGTATCGCAGGTTGGAACATTCGTAGTAGAACTTGACGAGGCGGTAGTGTTGGCCGTCATATCGAGTGCGGAGTGGTTCCAGAGCGTCGTCATCACCCGTGGTAGTGTGCATGGCTCGAAGCATGCTGGTGATGAACTTGTAGATCCCGTAGCTTTCCTGGACCAAGGGAACCAAGGCTGCAATGCGGCACTCGTTGTTGGAGCCTCCGCGGAAGTGCGAGAAGATCAGCTTCTGAAAAGTGTCAATCTGATCTTGCAGGGTCATCAGGTCGGAAATGGTCTCGTAGCCTTCGTTGGGATCGTTAATCGACTTCAGGCTGATGTATTCTTCATATTCAAACAGCCCATTAAACTCGGGGTGGTTGCGGTGGAAGCCTAGTTTGGCAAGGAGGAAGAAGACGTATTCTCGGATGAGGGGGCCGTATCCTCGCAGTCCTTCTCCGGTCACGCCTCTAGCAAGACTTTCGATCCAATTGATGTTCTGCTGCGCCTCTTTGACCGTCACTGGGTGACCCTCTTGAAGGACTTTGTGGATGGTGATCAAGGCTTTGAAGGTTTGGACCTCGTCGGCCATGACGGGCCTGCCTCACGGTTAGCATCCGACGACAAGCTGGAAAGGCGAATTCAAAGACATACTGCACCTTCATCCCAGCCCAGAAGGACAAGGAGGAACGGTGGTCCCAGGTGTAAACAATACATGAGCGGACATGTTTTCTTTTAGGCGCAGTCTCCTCAATGCTGGTAGCTTTGCGGATGTTGATGGCCAGATCCGACTCGGTCTTAGCCATGTCGATGTTACGACCTGTGCCGGTTGCGTGGGAGGGATAAGCCATGTTGGCAGAGTGGTCGTCGATGACTTGAGTCCTGCCAAAGCCGTCGTAAACCGCGCCGGCGCCTGAGCGTCTTCTCCCCGCCGTGTCGAAATATGGAGGCACAAAGTACGCCAGTCTGACTGATCTGGAGGGACGTGAGTGAAGGATGAAGAGAGCAAGACAACAGGAAGCTCAAACGACCTGCGACATCCCTTCAGGGAGCAAAGGCACAAGACTTTGAAGCAGAAAGCAAAGAGATGCGGCTGCTGACGGAGTTCAGATGTTGTTCAGGCTGCTTCCATTCGGTAGACCGGCTGCGCCCTGCCGCTAGTACGTTTGGGGAGTCAGCGCATTGGCCGCAGCACGTGACATGATGATTCAGCATGCCACCTCAAATTCTGGAGGGGTTAATCTGCTCTACATTACAGTGCGACTTCCGCTGCAAATGGTGGGAAAATCCAGAGAATCAATCATAGGGATGGTATACAGAGCCTGAGAAAATTGCAGGAAAATTGAGTTTGTTTTGGTGCCGATGCGGGCGCCAATGTCGTCTTGGGCTTATGGTTCAAGCAAGAGAGAGTTCGGTAAGGGTAGTTCCCCATAGCCACGGGAGGGTCCAAGAACGCGCGTCTGTGCATAATGTACCTCGTAGCAGGGGCGGCGACGCAGCGGAGTGATGCTCGATTGTACTGAAGCCTCAGACGTATTAGGAACACATACCTCGTACATGAAGGAATACTCATGATGCAAGGTGCACTGGACGCCTTGGAGTTGGCTTTCCGTGGACAACTGAATGGCAGTCATTTCATGCCTTACTAGATCGTGGGGAATCGCCAGGCACATTCTTGATCGACTTTTAGTTAAAGGTTATTGGTGCCCGGGTAAGTTAGGCATGCCTATTGTAGCCAGCTCGCCAGGAGAGCAGCGGGGGCGCCAGGTACCTAGGTAGTGTGGGGAGCTGTGGGATTCCCCAGGGACATTCTTATCCGGCTTTTAGTTAAAGGCTATTGGCATGCTAGGCGCCTCAAGAGAGCTGGCTGCCATGGACATATGACGGGTATTCCGATCGTCAAACAGCAGTCAACCATCTGTTCTCCTCGACCGTAACCTTCAAACCTCTCTGCATCCAACTTTTCCCATGGAGTTCTTGGGCCAGAACAGCCCATTCAGCCCATTCAGCCCGTCTCGCCCACCCCTTACCTCCTAATCCACGGGGTGGCAAGCAGAAAACGAAGGGCTCTACCTCGTATCCGTCGCTCCGTCACTTCCCCTCCTCTCTTCCAGCCTCTCAGAAGCTCCTTGCAGCCGCGCGCCCGCCATTTTGCTGCCAGCTTTGACCCAATCGATCCAGCTTGTGGCCCGTGCAAACCCCCTATATGCACAACCCCCTCACTTAGCCGGGCCAATTCTTTCCGTCAAAGCAAGCCAAAGCAAGCCAAAGCTGTCACAATTGCGTTGGTGGCTTTAGATCAAAGACTCAGCAAATCATGTCAAGAGTCAAGACGGTTCAGTCGATAGACGACGCCAATCCAGACTTCCGCGGATGGTTTCTAGCTTCCTGCCTCGATCAAGAAGGTCCACTTCTTCCACCGTGCGGCATGGGCAATAGGGAGCTGAGAACTTCCCCAGGTCCATCTATGATGCTTCCTCATTCCAAAGCGATACGAAGTACCGAGCAGATGAATATCATCTTTGGGCCATATCCCTCCCTTCTCGCCCTCGCCCTCCTTCCTTCTTGTATCTGCTCTTTCCAGTCTCTTGCCCCTCCATCTCTTTTGCCATTCACCGCCGTCAGCTCTCTCCTTCAAGTTCTTTCTCCATCGTCCGTCCTTTTCTCTGTGCCCCTCCCTCAGCTTCTCACTCCACCACCTTTATCCCTTTGGCTGCCGTGAACGCCCATAATGGTTCTCGAGGATACTCCGGGTCCTCTGGGGTTTCCAGGAGCTCAGAGCTCTTCCGAATACCAGATGGCTGAGGCACCCCCTTGCGATACCATTGAGCCAAGCCTCATTATGCGCCAAGGCCCTCCTTTTCCACCGATTCCCTCTTTGACGAACCTCTCTCTCGACGGTTTTCTCGAGCCTCTCGAGCCTGCTACTGACCAAGTGGCTTCTCCTGAGATCATCAGCCTCGAGTCCGCTTCTTCTCAAGCCATGAGCCTCGGGTCTACTTCTTCTCAAGCCATCAGCCTCGAGCATGCTACTGACCAAGTGGCTTCTCCTGAAATCATCAGCCTCGGGTCTGCTTCTCCTGAAGTCATTAGCCTCGGGTCTGCTTCTTCTCAAGCCATCAGCCTCGAGTCCGCTTCTCCTGAGTCTGGTCCTTCCGAGTCTGACCTGCAGGAGACCCGTCAACTCACCACCACGGTCCGGGCTCGACGTGGCGAAAAGCGCCGTGCACCAGATGAGATTGACCCACAGCGCCGTCAGGCCTACCTGGATGCTGCCCGTGAGTTCTTGAAGGAAGACGACCCTCTCCCTCACGGAACCAAATACCTGGCGCAGCTCCGCCAACTTATCGACTGGCTGATTTCTGACAAGGATTTGCCAGAGGAGGCTTTCCAGCTCTTGACATGCTCTCTGAATCCCCATGAGCGTATGACCATGAGGTTTTGGGAGACTTCGCTCAACCCAAACCGGAGAAAGATGTGGACGTTTTGGCACTATCCAGACTGCCGCGGCAGGCCTATTGATGACGAAGAGTGTGTGCGGGGAAAGTACTCTTTGCTGCCCAAGGCCAAGTTGCCCAAGCCGCGCCGGTTGAGGAGGTTTGGCAAGTTTGCTAAGCCGGTCCAGGAGACTTTCCACTGCCCTAAGGGGAATGTACACATATTACAACAACACAAGGACTGTCACAGACACCGCGTCAGATTAGACCAGCCAGAAGACGAAGAGAAGACCTTATGGTGCTTATTAGTATGGCCCGAGTGCGACCAAGACCCATTAGGAGGACCTTGTTGCAAGGTCATCCCTTGCGCTCCGAGTGACATGCCTTTGATTGGGATCCGGCTCTGGGCCCTAGCTGGCCCGTGTGACGAGCATATGCAGCTTTCCGGCCACGATTGTGACCACGACTGCTCCGACCGATCCAAGTGGCAACATGGTGATCCCGAGGATGACCGGCTCGCAGACGAGCCTCCACCATGTACGCGTGGATGGAGGTAATGAATTGTATGTGGCGTGGTTGATGGTAAGTTTCAGCCTTGTGACTGACAATGCTATCATTGACTCAAAGCGTGACTAGCGATTCCTTCGCCGAGACAAGACGGGCCAGCGGCGATGCTCCTTCCATTCTTCACGGGGTACATTCTTCCATAGGCTGGGTTTGCCATCCGTCTTCCTCTGCTGAATTTGCTACCCCTGGCGTATCCATCCCCACGCACACGCATACTCACTCACACTTACACACTTATGCCCGCCAACACTTACACTCATCGAAATACATATCCGGATAATCTGACAGCACCTCGCTTGTGCATTTTCCTATCTGTCCCTCTTTCAAATCTTCGATTTCCGGTGGATTGCGGAAGGGGTCTTCAAGGGGCTTTTTGTCAGGGAATGACTGCTGTACAGGTGCAATGTGTACATGAAATGGGAGGAACGGTCCTTTGTCAAGAATCAATGCCCGTGTTCGATTCCACGTTGTATGGGATTGAAGGCAGGCGGTTGTTTTACCATGATTTCCGTTGGTGAGCGGCAAATATGTGTCAAATTGAAGGGATTCGGTCTTTTGCTCAAGATGACTGCTGTTTACGATAGGTATAACAAGTGGGAAACGGGATGAGATTCTAGGACACTCGCTTGTCGGTGGACTGCTTGCTTGAATTGACCGTCTATGACAGAAAGGCACATCCTTTTCCTACATTGAAAAAGATAACGTAGTGAATTTCACAGGAAATGCAACGATATCAGCACGCAAAATGTGTCAGCAAGGTACTCAGTAACTTGAAGAGTTTCCTTGTGCCCGGAGTGGCATCTCTATTCTTTTCACCATAACCAAGATTGTCCCTAAACAATTGGGACAAATGCATGAGGCGGAGAGATATGAAGCCGCTTCAATGGAGTTTGCAGGAACTTTCGCTTCACCTGGCCATAGTTTTGACCCAAAAAGGTCAATCTTTTGACACCGTCCTTTACCAGCATTGGCAGCGAAGAGGAGGAAACTAATGTGAGTCGTAGGGCTATATTAGCTCGCTCGAGGACGCATGTATCAACAAGTATACCACTTTTCTATCACGGTCAATCTCTACATTTCGAACATCATCGAAGAATAATCGTGTCAGGGCACACGTCTACCGATGCGGCGACTTCTGAGCTGCCGGCTCTTCTACGCGGCTTCAAGGTCGTGCCATCATCTGGCTATGGCTCCAACGTGATCAGTAAAAGAATCCAAAATCCCGGTCGCTGTTGTTTGTTGATGGTGCATTTTCCTCAGGCAGACCTCGAGCAGATACCAAAAGGGACCCCGCTACTGGTGGTCCCCCTCCTGCACAGGTGCTGGTCGATCGTGTCGTGAAAGCCATGGATGAGGCTGAGGCAGGAAAAGGTGCGGGTGCTTGGGGTCCAGGTGTTTGCTGAGGAAACGGTAGTGAGGTCGAGTAATTGGTTGACCCCATTCGCTGGTCTAGACCTTCTGTGGCCATGCCTGAATACCTAATATTATCTCCACCGAGACCCAAAGCAAACAATTGCAAAGCAAACAATTGACAATATGGCTGGGGGCAAACAGATTGCATGGCAAATAATTGATAGTCAGGCTAGGAGGCCAAACAATCTACAAAGCAAACAATTGACAGCCTGGCTGGGAGCAAACATATTGCGGAGCAAACAATTGACAATCAGGCTGGAAGGCAAACAAACTGCAGAGCAAACAACTTCAGGAGCAAACAACTCCAAGAGCAAACAACTCCAAGAGCAAACAACTCCAAGAGCAAACAACTAGCATATTAACCACGGAACAAGCAGAATCTAGGGACTAGGGAAAGCAATCAAGCAATCAAGCAATCAAGTAATCAAGCAATCAAGCAATTAAGTAATCAAGCAATCAAGCAATTAAGTAATCAAGCAATCAAGCAATCAAGCAATCAAGCAATCAAGTAATCAAGCAAGCTACATAGCAAATTGCGAAGTAAACAACAGGGCAAACAAGAGGGCAAACAACAGAGCAAACAACAGGGCAAACAACAGGGCAAACAACAGGGCAAACAACAGGGCAAACAACAGCCATCTTGGGCAAAGACGCGCAAGCAGAATACATGGGCATGGGCACGGGGGCGAGCAAACACAAGCCCACACTACTCAGCTCAAGGCAAACAAGCAAACTGCAGCGCAGGCAGGCAGGCAGGCAGGCAATCAAGCAAGCTGCAGGTGAAGCAAACATGCATGCCCAAAAGACAGCCTACAGGTAAAGCAAACAACTCTTGTGGGTGGAGGCAAACACCCCCCAAAACTCCCCAATAGGCAAAACATCGAGTCGGGGAATGTACCTAGCTGCGGCGAGTCATGGGGGCAGCACAGAGGAAGAATTCCAAGAGCTGGTATGCTGGCACAGCATGATTTGTCCTTGAAGGGGAATTTTTGTTTGATCACCTGGAATAACACACTGTGGACCACAGTATGTGGAAAACAGGCCTTCCCCTTCGGTCCGCAAGGCACTATCGTGGGCGCCCGCCCTTTTCTTCCACGCCCCCAGCGACGGGGCCCTCTTTCCATCCGGAACCCCCTTGCCTGCCTCGCACCGTGCCCTTTGACCCTCTTCTCGAGCCCGTCTTGGAATTCTCGCTCTCGAGTGCCTCTGGCTTCGGAATCGGTCGATAACAAACGACATAGAACGAGGTCAGATGTAACGTGGCTTGACTCGACATCAATAACGTGATTCTCGTGAATTGCAGCCGAGATCTTTACGAGGCATTCCGCAAGCCCTCACGGAGAATTCGTTCTAGGCACTAGCTGCGCCCCTTTATGGAGGCGTGGTGAGTCCCGAACACTCGATCGCGTTCCGTTGGCACTGGCCTCCAACCACCGAGGGGGCTGGTGCGACTCTGATTAGGACCAAGTATCAGCCGTCTCAGTGCCGACGTGCGTCGCAGATCTTTGTCATGTCAGTCTGGAACGTGATGCGTTGCTTCTCCCGCATGTGAGACAAGGCTTGGTCAGGAAAGCGAGCACGGGGCAGCGCTTCCGTCGTTGCAAGCACTAGGCAAGAGGGCGACGTGGCCACTGCTGCCTTGGGGCCAGACAAGACTGCGAGGGCAAGTGTACTGCACCACACCGCTATCTCCTGCGCGGTTGAGATGGCGGAGCAAAGTCGTGGCATCAATTGAATCAATCCTATTTGGCGAGACTTGGGGATACGCTATTCGAGGGTCCTGGCTTTTGCTCAAACGACGTCTGCGCTCGTTTCTCCCCAATGAGCGAGGAAAACGAGGCAGATTCTGTACCACAAAGCAATTTGGCGAGTGACTTGAAACCGGCGTGTAGAATACTGTTAGTTTGAACGGGATGTTCGTTATTGGAGGCGTGGTGTCTGGGCACCTCGTCGACTTGTAAGGCCGCCTCCATGAAGTTCTCCAAGACAGGTTCAGCGTGCTTGTTTGTTGACAGTAAAATTCATCGTCCGAAGCAAGATCCCGAGGAAGTCCAGCCCCCTCACCACCTGAGATGGTTATTGGGCTTTGGACTTGCCGTGTCGTCCGTCGAAGGGCGTAGGTGTCACCGCAGCGAGAGACACCAATGCCGCAGCACTTGACATATATCTCTCGTGATCCATCTGAAGATAGTTCCACACGAAATATTGGCCTTCGCTTCAATTTCCCGAAGAAGATCGTCCATGGAACTGAAATGTGCAAGCCAGCAGCTCTTTATGATTGTCCCCAAAGGTACACCTTCCAGGTGCGGGAAATGGCCCTGTTGATATCGTCGCTCGACTTGTCGATACCGATACTCCGCCTTTTCGAGGTCAGAGTGTGGAGGTTTGCCGGTCATGATTTCGTAGACTGCGCAACCATATAGGAGATATCATTTTGTCTGCTCCAGCCCCCATTGAAGATCGGTAGCTAACCACTCATAACATGAATCCGCCTCTTGACCATCAATACTGCACCCTTCGAAGCCGATGGTTTTTACACAACCATCCCGTGCCAGATCATGTTGTTGCAGGGAAGATCAGCGTGGACGATTGAATGGTGATGTGTATATCTTGTAATCCCTCGGCCGCTTGTTTTAACCAGCGAAGCTTCGTGTAAAGCCGGTATCTCTGTATGATTTTCTTTTCCAAGGAGCGATCGAAGAACCTGACCTCGCCCCAAGACTACAGAGCCGTCTGCCCTGGTCCCGTCAAACTTGGCAATATTTGGATGTCCGCAGAGGCACTCGTACGCTCGACATTCGACCTCGCCTCGGTGCTCTTCATGGTATTATTTGACGACTCCATTTCCAGCAATGCCATACACAGTTCCAGCTTTGCCAAATATGAGGTACTCCATTAAGAAAAGAGGCCTGATTCAGGAAAATCGATCGAGCAGGGAAAATTCCGATCGCGGTAACAGGGTAAGCGCGAGCGCAGTCAGACGACTGTAACCGCTGATTGACGTGATCATCCATATTGAGCAGCTGTGGTGATGCAGTTTGAGATGGCCCATTTAAGCAGTGCAAAGAGACGTCTGCTGGTGCAGAGAAGATCCATGGACGAGCGAGACTGCAAAACGGATGGGTGATCAAGAACGAAGTTGACAAGGAAGTAATATTATGTAAAAAGACTGCTGCTATAAAGGCATGTCGTCCGCTGGCCCTCTGCCCGATCTGTTAGACAGCGACAGGGAGCACCCAGATCGAAGAGAGCAGTTCACCGCGTCCCAATCTTGCTAACGAGGCGCCGACACGCACTCACGTGCCACAAACTCACGTGCCACTCTGCTCAGCCCAGCCGAGGTCCCTGATCCCGATGATGATTGGCCAGGTTCGTCCAATAGACGTGTGAGACTTTTCAAAAGCAGCGTTGCGATATCGCCGCTTCGGGGTACGAGGCACACCCGGTGCAACTACCTTACCGATCTCCCCTTCACGGTGAATGCTCTTGGACATGACGACAATCCATCACTTGGGCGTATATGCATCAATACATGGCATGATGGCTATGTACCAGCGGCCGGAAGCGGCAGTGAGAAAGAAGTAAGTGCGGGCTTCTCGGTGTGGGGGACCTCGGATTCTCGACGTCCGCAGTCTGGCGCATCTCTACCTTCGTCGCAACGACATGTCCATCAAGAAGACCGTAACAGCAACAAATCATGTCTGATGCCCATTTACGAAACGGCGCCGCCGCCGCCGCCGCAGAAGGTCGAGCTGATGAACTCGCTCGCCTTCTAAAACACCGCCCACCCTCTCAGGTCTTGAAGTGCGCACCCCAGAGATGGTGGATCGGCGTAGCTCTCAGGCATATTGATATCCCAGCCATTGTCGAGAAGGACCTGGAGAGTCGGCAGAGATTTGGACTGGGACGCGAGGAGATATATCGCCGCTGGAGAAAGCAAGGAAGTGCGGAAATCAGGAACTGGCCAAGATGGTATCGGAGGGATCCGCAAAGGTGATACCACATCCGAACGTTGGATGTTGAAAGAAGACGTCTTGTTAACACGTGAGAAGAGAGCCCATGATCTGGATATGAATTACACGAAATGGTTACAGTTGGAGACTTGGTACCTTCATATAGCGGGAGAAAAAAAAACAGTCCTGGGAAGATGATACTATACTCGGATGCTTACTTGCACGTATCAGGTGGCGAAACAATCTTAATCCCCTGAAGACTTGATCCGTCAAATCAAGTGTAATCCCCTACGCCTCGGCCCATGAAAAGACTCAACTTTGAATTCCAGCCTTGGGGATGCCTCAAGGTCAAGGGTGGACAAGCTCGTTCACGGGCGCATTTGGGGACGCTTTTGGTGATGGATCTGTCCTGAGGGATCTACGTGGCGTGTGAGAAAGGGGTACTCCAGCGAAAGGGATATGTAAAGACAGGGTGTCTCGTGAGCTGTGAGTGCCGTAGCATGGCGCGTGACCTAGTTTCATCAACTGGAACCAATGCCATGGAGTTGTGGACACTTATTCACAGATGGGACATTACACGGCACTGCAAGTCTCGTCCCACCAACTCACCACTTTCACATCTGGCCAAAGAATTCACCTTTCGAGGCATGAAAAAGTAAACAATCCCAGGCTCGCCAGGTTCGAAGAGTGGGTGTCGCTCTTCGTGATCGCCGTTGCTAACTGGGTGGTCGATCTCGACGACAGGATCGGGGCAAACCCCCAGCCTCACCATTCTGAATGCCACCAGGCACCATCTTCCAAGGGCTCTAGCGCGGTCTACGACCCTGATTCGATCCAGGTCGAAAGACCGAAATGCAAGTTGATGGCGTGAAAGATGCCTTGGGAAGTGGATTTAGCATAATACTATTAGAGCTTCTCTGGGCGAATAATGTTACGCTACACCGACGAAAAAAGAGCTGCGGCACAAAACTCGACGGCTTATATGCGAAACCACCAAGACGTCAAAAGGTGCGAAAGGTTCTCATGTTAGGATCGTCGGCTTCTGTTCTCCGATTGGCCTCGTCAAACACTATTAATTAGTCGACCACGGCGCTCAAAGCTAGATTTCGGAATTTTTCCTCGACAAAAACGACCGAATCGTCTCATTGCTTATGAATTCTCAAGATCAGCACCTCGATTCTTCTTTTCCCTTTTTCTCCTCCTCCGTCAATGCTACGTTGTCTCCTTGTCCGTCGACCTCGTACAATGCCGCCATGCCCGGTAGAGATGGGCGGTTGATAGAGGAGTATACCCTATTACTTCCCCTTCGGAGGAAGATCAAGGCCAGGGCAATGCGATGTAGGGAATCCATGCTTCAGTTGCACCCTGTTTCACCTCATAGACCCGGTCCGGATCGAACGCGGTTGCTTGGGCAAAGTAGTAGCCGCGCTGGTTGCTGACCAGTCTCTTCTTGGTCTCCGGGTCCTCGAAGTCGCAGTTGAAGTGCGTGTGGCCAAACGCCCAGAGCTTCACACTCTGGTTGACCCAGCATTCCTCCTTGGACAGGTCGGTGGAGAAGCCGGAAGAGATGGGGCTGGACTTGTGCGCCGCGTCAGAGGTGCCCTCGGCGGTGCTCGGGCTGTGGTGGGTGAAGACGACGATCTTGCGATTCGGTTCGCGCGCCGAGATCTCGGCCACCTGGGCATTGAGCCACTCCAGGTCCGCCTGGTGCGCAGCACAGTGCTGCTCCACGGTCCAGTCCTCGATGTGGTAGAAGTCGTTGAGGCCGAAGCTCACGCGGTCGTGTTGCGACGAGAGCACCTGCGAGTACAGCGTGCAGCCCAGGATCGTGATCTCGGAGGACAGGTCGTACCGGGTCTGGTCGAGGAAGATCAGCTTGCCCAGTCGGCCATCGTCCCCCTTCTTGGCTGAGCGACGTTGATCGATCTTGTTCGAGAAGTCCTGGAGCTGCGCCTTGACTTTTGCCCAGGTGGAGTGATACGGTTCGTGGTTGCCGAGCAGGAAGAAAACGTGCTCAAACCGTTTGAGCTGCGCTTCGAGGAATTGAAAGAATCCTTTGTCTTTGATGTTTCCAACATCGCCAAGGAGGGCTAGACAGGAAGATTTTGGGGTGATGGAGAAGACATCATATGTAGATGGTGCTTCCAAATGCAAATCGGACATGATTTGGAATCGTGCCATGGTGCAATCAGAGTCCAAACGAGCAAGTGAGCAGACTGAAGTCTGTTTGTCTATCGCCACGTTTCACCGAAGCATACAGATTAAGCGTTGCCATCTAGTGTAAGTTGGTATTATATACTCGAACAACTTCACGCATACCGATGGCCTCATTCCTAAAGATGGCTCCAACATTTGACAACTTCACTGGAATGTGAACTATATTTCGCAAAGACACCGGGCTACACGTCAGCCGACATTTGTGAACGGCTTAGACGCTCTTTTTTGAGGAACCCGCAGAATGTCTCGCAGACAATTCGCAAGCGGTGCCGATTCAATTAGCGGTGGCGTCTCAAAGCAATGAGAAGTATCGAGAGCAGCAAACAAAGGCAACAGCACTGATCGGGATAACAGAGGGTTTCCACTGCTCTGCAGTAAACAGGAATCTATTCCAAGCCTGCATCTCTATCCTAATTAAGACTTCCAAAACAAATTGCCGCTTCCAGGTGGATAAAATCCAACCCACCTTTTCGGGTTAATTTCCGCAGCATAACAATCTCGATCCTTGTTGCCAATTGACTTATTTCATTCAAATTCCAGGTGTTTCTGCCACAATTCCACCACAGATGCGGTTTCTTCCATGACTGATGGAAGTCCCTCCTTTACCAGATCCTTTTGATTTGCATCCAGGGCTACAGGTCCTCCCCGCTGGAAGTGCGTTCAGAAGTTGTTTCGCATCCAGAGCGTCGCGAAGCCCTTTTGCCCTTGTCACCACGAAGACCACATGAATTCTATTTTGAGAACGAGAATGTCGAGGGCGCTGGCGTATGGGAGTTTGATAGGGCATGCCGAGGCAACGGTGACAACACCAGGGGGGCAAGTGGCGGCACTACATTGAATTGCAGTCAGTACAAGATCCATTTGTGTCAGTTGAAGGGGGGAATACCTGAAAACTCGGGGACCATGTCTATTTGGATCTCCTTTCCGTTTGGATGCCGATGGAATAACTTCTGGGCGCACTGCTCAAATGGACTATTCGCTAAGTCAAGCAGCGTCTGTTTGACATATTTGGGAACCCCGTCGCCCGTCACAAGGAAATCGACGTCCTAAAAACCGCAATCAGAGAACAGTCTTTCCCACAGAGCAACCACTCTCACTACTCACCTCTGTTGCTCGGCCATCGCCTAGTTGTCAAAAAAAAGAACTGTACGCCTGGGTGTAGCTCCTGATGCAGCCAAGATGAGACGCAAAGCTTTTCAAATAGGGGTCTGGATTCAGTTAGAAGCCCGTGCATCTCTGACAACGACAATGAAGGTAACACATGGATCTCTTCGTAGCGCCATTGGGTCTCGGAATTGACGTTGGTCGAGTTTTCAATACATCGGCCAGAGTCTTCGGATGGGACAATAAAGTCAAGACATCACTACCATGTATGGCCACTGGCTTGTAAGAAATCTGGACGATTACACTGAATCTCTCTGGCCGGCCTGCTTGAAAGCCAGTTTGAAACATTTGCCACAGTTCTGCCGTCTGTCCTGTGGCAGAGCATAGCAGCTTTTTCACGCAACAATGCGCATAGTTCTTCTCGAATTGTGTGAAAGCCGGTGGGTGGCTTTCCGCCATCGCGAATCTTGTTGTACCCTTACTGACTGCTGGAGATAGGAACCAATGTACCCACGTCTCAGAGCTAATTTTTTTCTCGGCACGATCCAATTCCCATGACGATGCTATCATTTTTCGAGTGCGATGGAAGCAGTCGAAGAAGGTACTCGATTCCTGGACACTGTAATGCGAAAAATGGATAATGAGCGATTTGCCTTTTTTGCTGCACACGCTCTCACCATTTGATCTGATTTGGGGAAAGTCCTCTTGTTTCGGGGGAACCTACGCATGTCATGTGCCGTTTGGATCTTCGTGTCTCGTAGCCTGATGTAGTTGGACGAAACGAGCTTTTCGCGGACTGAAAATCGAGTCTATGACCTCAGGTCCAAATCGAAAGAGCAGCCTTGGTGTATACATAATATCCACTGCATAATCTATGGGCGGGCAGGAGTGAGTGCACAGGTGTCGTTTTGGAGGCTTCTGTCTGTTTCGTTGGTAAATGCCTTGTTAAGGCTCCAGGCATCTATCACCAGGAGACAAACCGCTGAGCAAACCAACATAGAGCAGTGCGAGGAAAGTACACGAGAGCAATGTTGTGCTATGCTAGATCTTATGAGCACGATCGAGAGGAAGGGAGACACTCCCACAGAGTCAAGGTCGGCTTTTCACTCTCTTCACATCTCGAAAACAAATGCGAGGCGGTTAGTGCTAGAGTCCAAGTTAGAGTTGAAACAGACACCGAGAAACACTCAAGGCCGCAGGACGAAGGACTGGGAACAATATCCCTGTATCGACCAACCTCACATTCTGAGTTTGATGTCGGTATGCTGGGGGCGACAGACACTATCACATCAATCCAAACCCAATTTTTTGCTGGGCCAAATAGGACACCGATTTCGCATATGTGTGTATGTGGAAACACCACGGTCGGTATTGGGTGGTTAAACCATCCCTCGATGGTGTCTGGCGTTGGACCTGCAAACCATACTGGGGTCCAACGGGGGAGGATGACACGATTCTTGGTGCGGTCAACTGTTCATTGTTCTTCCATTATTGCCATGTCGACTGTCCGTTGTGCTATCCTTTGTGCTGTCCGTTATGCTATCCATTGTGCTGTCCGTTGTTCTTCCTTGTGACACCGAGTTGTCCGTTGTTCTGTCCTTTGCGCTGTCAACTGTCCGTTGTTCCGTCCTGTGATACTCAACTGTCCGTTGTTCTGTTCTGTGATACCTAACTGTCCGTTGTGCTCCCTCGTGACGTTGAATTCGAATTCAATTCGTCCGTTGTGCTGTCCTTTGCGCTGTCAACTGTCCTTTGTTCTGTCCGTTGTTCTGTCCTTTGCGCTGTCACTGTCCGTTGTTCTGTCCTTTGTTCCGTCCTGTGATACCCAGCTGTCCGTTGTTCTCCCTCGTGACGTTTCATCCAAACTCAATTCGTCCGATGTGCTGTCCTTTGCGCTATCAATTGTCCTTTGTGCTATCAATTGTCCTTTGTTCTCTCCTGTGACACTCAACTGTCCGTTGCTCTGTCCTTTGTTCCGTCTTGTGATACTCAACTGTCCGTTGTGCTCCCTCGTGTCGAAGAACATCCATTCAATTGGTCCGTTGTGCTGTCCTTTGCGCTGTCAATTGTCCGTTGTTCTGTCCTTTGTTCTTCCTTGTGACACTGAGGGTGTCCGTTGTGCTGTCCTGTGATACTCAACTGTCCTTTGTTCTCTCTTGTGATACTGAATCCGATTTGATTTGTCCGTTGTTCTGTCCTTTGTTCTCTCTTGTGACACTTGGTTCGATTCGATTGGTCCTTTGTTCTGGCTGGTGATTCTCAACCGTCCTTTGTTCTCTTTTGTGACACTGAATTCGATTTGATTTGTCCTTTGCCCTGTCCTTTGCCCTGTCCTTTGCCCTGTCCTTTGCCATGTCCTTTGCCCTGTCCTTTGCCCTGTCCTTTGCCCTGTCCTTTGCTCTGGCTTGTGATACCCAATTGTCCGATGTTCCCCGTTGTGTCACGGTTAGAGGTGCGGAATGCTCCTCCGACAAAGTTCTTAGCTCTTCTATGTGTCACGATTTGATTGGCGGTATACCTCCCCGATAAGTTCTTGATACTCTTCTCTGTGATAAGGGTTGAGGTATCCCGTAGGAGTCTCCCCCGACATGTCCTTGATACACTTCCGTATGGTAAGGTTTGATTGGCGGGATACAAGTTCTGGATGCTCTTCTTTGTGATAAGGGCTTGAGGTGTAGGATGCTCCCCCGACAAGTCTCTTGATGCTCTTCTATGTGTCACGATTTGATTGGCGGGATACCTCCGTGATAAGCTCCAGTGCTCTACTGTTCTGTGTGACAATAGTCGAGTTGTAGGATACTCCCCCGACAAGTCCTTGATACTCTGTGTGATAAGGGTTGAGGTGTAGGATGCTCCCCCGACAAATCCCTTGATGCTCTTCTAGGTGTGACGATTTGATTGGCGGGATACCTCCGCGATAAGTTCCAGTGCTCTTCGGTTCTGTGTGAGCACGGTCGAGGTGTAGGATACTCCCCCGACAAGTCCTTAATACTCCTCTGTGTGATAAGGATTGACGTGTAGGATGCTCCCCCGACAACTTCTTAGTGCGCTTCTGTTCTATGTGACAATGGTCGAGGTGCCAGACGCTCCCCCGACAAGTCCTTGATACTCCCTGTGTGACAAGCCTCTGAGGTGCAGGACACTCCCCCGAAGTCCTTGATACTCTTCTATATGCCACAGTTGATTGGCGGGATACCTCCGCGACAAGTTCTCAGTGCTCTACTCTTCTGTGTGACAATGGTCGAGGAGTAGAATGCTCCCCCGACGAGTCCTTGGTGCTCTTCTGTGTGACAAGCTCCTTAGTGCTCTTGCTCTTCTCTATGACGAAGATTGGCGGGATGATCCCCCGACAGGTCCTTGATGTTCTTCCGTGTGATAAGGTCCTTAGTACTCTTCTCTGCGACGAAGATTGGCGGGATGATCCCCCGACAAGTCCTTGATGTTCTTCTGTGTGATAAGGTCCTTAGTACTCGGTACTCTTCTCTGTGACGAAGATTGCGGGATGATCCCCCGACAAGTCCTTGATGTTCTTCTATGTAATAGAGTCCTTAGTGCTCTTCTCTGTGACGAAGATTAGGGTGCGGGATACCCCCGAGACAAGTTCTCAGTGCTCTTCTCTATGACAAAGATTGGGGTGCCGGGCCCCCTGAGACAAGTTCTTGGTGCACTTCTATGTGACAAGGGCCTTCGTGCTCTTCTCTGTGGCAAGGTTTGGGCGCTAGGAAGCCCCTTCCAAGACAAGTTCTTGGTGCTCTTCTCTGTAACAAAGATTAGGGTGCGGGGGGAAGTCCCTCGACAAGTTCTCAGGCTCTTCTCTGTGACAAAGAGTGAGGTGCGGGGATACCCCTCTGTGTGATAAGGTCCTTGGTGCCCTTCACTGTGACGAAGATTGGGATGCGGGGGATGCCCTTCTGTGTGATAAGGTCCTTAGTGCTCTTCTCTGTGACGAAGAGTGAGGTGCGGGGACGCCCCTCGACAAGTTCTCAGGACTCTTCTCTGTGACAGAGATTGGGGCACGGGGATGCCCCTCGACAAGCAGGACTCTTCTGTGACAAAGATTGGGGTGCGGGATGCCCCTCGACAAGTTCTTGGTGCTCTTCTGTGTGACACAAGGGTCGAGGTGCAGGGTGACCGAAGGATGGGTCGTAAACCTGGAGCACCTTCGTGCCCTCCGACAGTGTCTGTTTGCTGGGCATTGATCAACATGGGGCTGGGCTACGCCTTGCCTGCACCTCAATATCTGGGCCATGGTACGCCAATGCGTCGCCTGGGTGGTCTCGAACTCTAGCTCCGTGAGCTGCAGCCAAAAGTCCCTCGTATCATGTACGGCACTTTGGCAAGACTCAGCCAGCCCAGCTCTGGTCCGTGGGGTTCCTCGAAGCCTAGCTCCTCGAGTTGCATCCAAAACTCCCTCGTATCATGTACGGCACTTTGGCAAGGCGCAGCCAGCTCAGCTCCCGGACAAAAGTTCTTGGTGCTCTTCTGTGTGACGAGTCTGGTCCGTCGGGTTTCTCGACCATCGTTTGGCTGGGTGTTCTCTGCATCTGACGTCTGTGCGTTGTTCCTCCACTGTCTGTCTCAATTGGATGCTTCAATGCCTTGATCTGGTCATTGCATTTCCACTGTGTTTGACAGAGTGTTTTTGGTATCCACCTTCTCGCACGTACTCCACTGTTCCCAAAAGGGGCAGTGCAGAACTTGCTTCTTCCAAAAGTGCCATTGCAAACAACAGGAGGTCTCGCAATGCACATCTGCTCGTGTTCGCGTAGATAAGGCTCCACAAGAGGTCTCAGATTGGACGACTGCTCGTATTCACGCAGTTTATGCACGTTTAGACCTGAATTCCGCCTTTCTCCTGTCACACAGCATGTCGGGTTACACAGCATGACACTATGTCTGGTTACACAGCATGTCCGGTCACACAGCATGTCCGGTTACACAGGGAAACCGACTGGCTGCGGTGGTTGGTTGATGGTGGTGGTCGAGACATGCTTTTCGAGCTTTAAGCTTCCCGGCGGGGAAATCGTCCAAAGATACGGGGACGCTGCGGAGGAAGGGGGGGATCTGCGGAGTGTGAGCTGGGAGATTCTCTGGGTGGAGCTTGCAAACCTTCTGACTTCTGATAGAGATGTGCGGGGGACCTTCTGAGTGAGGCGTAGCTCGTGCAGTAGCATCAAGCCTCCGGAATTTGGGCGGTTTGAAACTCGTAGACTTCGCTCTCAGTGCTCAGTCTGGTTTGCAACAGGGATGAGTTGTTCACCCTCCGTGCTCAGTCTGGCTTCGACAGGGGGATGAGTTGTTCACCCTCCATGCTCAGTCTCCCTAACTTCGACAGGGATGAATTTGTCACCCTCCGCACTCACTCTGGCTTCGACAGGGGGGGAGTTGTTCATTCTCCGTTCCCAGTCTGGCCTCGACAGGGGGTGCGTTGTTCACTCTCTGCACCCACTCTGGCCAGCAACGACAGGGATGAGTTGATCACCCTTCATGCTCAGTCTGGCTTCGACAGGGGTTGAGTGACTCACCCTCCGTGCACAGTCTGTCTTTGACAGGGGGGTCAAGTTGTTCACCCTCCGTGTCCAAACTGGCCTGGCCTGGCGATACTCCTCAGCGCACCCACTCGGTGCACGGTCACCCCTCAAACCGAGCCACACGGCAGGATTGTGAACTGGCCCAGACATCACTGCATCACCGCTTTCCCGCTCCATTCTCCGCCTGTGGTTTGACCCCGTGCACTCCGTGACCAAGTGATCGTCTCCTGTGGCTTGCATATGCACAGTCGTCCAGGTGAGGGGGAGAGGCATTGCCCGGAAACAGGATAGCGAGAAAAAAACAGAAGGAAAAGTCAATGACGTCTTTGACTCTCTCGATGAGTGCTAGAGTTGCAGGAGACCAAGTTAGTGCCAGCAGGGGTGCCAGTCTTCGGTCATTGGTTGCGTTAGGCGCTGTCAACATGCTCGTACAACAGTCTAGTGGGAGGGCAGGAGCTCCACAGCACCTCACTGCCACCGGCACAAAATCGACGACGGCAGGCGTGACGACGGCGGACACACACATTCCGCCTGCACCGGCCCTCTCTAACCCTGCCTTGATGAGGGACAGGGCCGATGAGCACACGGCGGGCCGACCGCGGGGAGGAATCTCGTCTTTCGGTCCGGTGGGTGCCTTTTCCCTCGGCATTAGATCTGGGGGGTCCCTTTGACTAGACCTTTAACTAAACTTACTCAAAGCTCTTACCTAACTCTACCTTCCAGGCATGCCTAACACATGCCAAGGCCCATGGCCAAGACAAAAGTCACCCAACGGACCGAAGTCGAGATCCCGCCCGCTGCGGCAACCTGGTCGTCATGTTCAATCGCCGGCACCAGCACATGAGCGCGATGAGACTCTTGGAAGAGGAGCTGCTCGAGGTTGAGTTCCTGGTGCAGTGCCTCAACGAGAGAGCGTCGTCCAGCACCCACAAGATCCTGATCTAAAGTGCCAGACATGTCCGCCACCGGGGATACCGGGTCTTCCTGGGCCCCCAGGAGACATTGCTGTCGTTGTGGCAGAGGCACGAAGCCAACCGCCCTCGCCCGCTGTCAACGATCAGCCTACGGGCCTCGGTTTCCCTGCCGCGGCGGCACAATCGCTGGCGAAGGAGTAATACTGGCGAGAGGACCAGCGTCTGGACCATGTTGCGAGACCTGCTCAAGTGTGGATTTTGGAGTTAGGACTGTCGAACCCCCCAGGCAATGATGACAGCCTCCCTCCGCACGCCCAAGGAGCGATTGCGCCGCATCAGGACTCAGATCAAGTGCGCAGACCGACTCGCGATAGTCGGGATTGTACCTCGTATAGTTGCTGGTAGTACTTAGGAGACTGTGAAGCCATTGCGGCAGAATGTTGAGGACTGACATTGCAATTCCGCAACACGCAATTTTTGGCCAAAGTTTGTTGTGCCCGTGGCTCAAGTCCGCACATGGGCGCCTCTGATTGGCGGAACGTCACCACATGCGAAAATCAGTTGCAACGCCCATCCGCGCGGGTTTTGGTTTTCCATGCAGCAATCCCGCGGACATCGCAGGAGGCAGAGGAACTGTAAGGAAAATTGAAGAAACGTAATTTGATAGGAAATAAATCACTCAATCTCTTTGCGTCTGCAGTGCAGGAATCTGGTTGTGTAATATCCTGCGTTGTTCATTGGTTGGGTGGTGGTTATGTTTTGAATCAGAAACACTCCCGCCACCTCGAGAATTTTCGGCAACACCGAAGACAAGACAAGACAAGATTGCACAGCATTGGCAAGGGTTGGACGGCATCACTGGAGTTGTCCACTTTACCCCGGTACGACTGTCAAGGCCGATTCCATGGCATGGCACAGAAAAGAGAGACAAAAAAAAGCCTCTCCGTGTACAGTTGTCGGTGAGTGCTCCACGAGTTCGTTCCAGTTCTTGGACATGTGAGCAGAGAGTGGGAAAAGAGGAATCATCATTCTATCTTCCAAGAAGCCGACGTGTACATGTATGTGTGTTACCGTGGCTGGCTGCTGAGCAATGTCTTCATTAACATCCACCATGATAATGTCCCGTCTCAACTAGTCCGTCTGTATCCTTGAGGACTTCCAAAACGTCAAGAGGATGCTAGCCACTTCCTCCGCTGAGCTGCCATCCCCATGCATTCGAGTAAGCAGCCCGTGAATAATAAAATCCGAAGAGGACAACAAACAACCATAACGCCACCGTTTCCCCAAACCCGCCGCCCTTGTGTACGCCTCCGCAAAAGCGTGTGCCTTCGAAGAGGCGAGTGGCTGAGAGCCCGAGTCTCCCTCGGTGGACTCACTCATGCCACCATCCACGCAGACCATTCTTTTCGTGTCCCCCCAAACTTCGAATTCCACCCGTTCACAAATGCTTCCACTGTTCCACACCTTGACCGCCGCATGCCAGCATCCAGACAATTCTTTTCGTAGCCCTCCACCCCTTGAATCCCCCGCTCTCTCAGAGCCTCCCACGGCGACACACCGCCGACAGCTGATCCGCAACCTGAGTCAAGAACTCACCCTGCGCCCAAATCAGAATAGTCTCCAACTTCAGAAGGAATTCTTCCAACTGGTCAGGCTCACTGATGAGATATGCCTTCAAGCCACGCATATGATAGTAGTCCCGATCGCCCTCCATCTCGGGATGGTGAACGGACAATTGCACAACAAGGCCCGACATGGTCAAAGAAAAGACGAGAGGGACATTTTCCTGTTCCGTTTCTTTTGGTAGGAACTCGCGCACGCCCCAACTGGACTTGATTTCAAGCCGTTGTAAGCCTTTGATCACGTAGCCTCCTATGGTCGCGGCTCGATTGTCACTTTCGAACAGAGACTTCCCAGCTTCAGTCACCAGGACCGGAACGAAAACCCCTGCACCGTCAGGCATAGATTTCGGGGAAAATTCGTTGTCCAGTCCGTCCGGAAAGGTATTCATCTGCGTCCTTGTCACCCCGCGCTCCGAGAGTGCGCCGTTAAGTCCTGCATCTGTCATCGCCGATGGGAAGATGCCTGATACAACTTTCAGGATCGATCCACTGCTTTTCTGAAAAGGCCTGAGACAGACGCTATGTCGAGCATGCCATGAGACTGATCCGGAACCTGATGAGCAACTGATATGTTGAACATGGTGGGCTATGACAGATTTCGACCAACGGAGATGATCAATCTAGATCTATTTTGTGGAGGAGGCCCGGCAGATTGACCGCTGACGATTCTCTGCGCATGACTGCGTCTGTGGGATGGTATGATGTTGCTCCCTCCGCAGGTATATTAGATTTGGGAAATCGGTCTGACCAATTCATCTTCTGCCCCGAGGTGTGTTCAAGTATTGCACCCTTTATACTCCGTCCGTGTTGACGCCTAGGACAGGTGGTCTTATGATGGTCTTGGGCTGGAGTGCCAGTATACCCTAACGGCTGCCTTCTCCCTTCCCCAGCCATTCTTGAGCATTCCTGCCGTTAACTTTGACTGTCCCGTTGGCAGCAGTAGGGATTGCATCAATGTTGATTGAGATAGAGAGATACGACCCAAGACGACGGGGTGAAAGAACTGTGTTGGCGGGTAGGCCGGTAGTTGGGAAGGCAGCCGGGTCGGCGGAGAGCAAGCTTGTTTGACATAGGTCAGCGGATCGCTCCATCATTCTCCTGCTTGTAGGTAGCTAGGTGAAGCATGGGGCGAGGTGGACCAGGGCAGATGAATCAAGGAATGTGAGAGGGGAGCGCATACATTCCACCTTTTCTCGAGAACGACCCCAATTCACACGACTAAGGTACTTACCATTGCCCGATGTATGTGAATCGCTGTGCTGTGCTGTGCATATATGGATAAGGATGTATAGTCTGCATTGAGACGGAAGGCTTGCGACATCGGTGCGCTAACAGCCATTGAAAGAGTGGTCTCTACTTGTAGAACCAGAGTTTCCTTGCTTCTTCTTCCGATGCTCCTGGGGTTTGTCCCTGTTGATGGACTCCGAAGACTTCCCTCTCTTTCGCCTGCACCATTTCGAAGGCCAGCCGAGGAGGCACCCAACCCTCGTCGTCTGTGCCGAGAATCGCGTTGGTGAATTTCCACAATTTCAGCCAATCCTGGTTTTCCGCCACCTGTGCCTCGCGCTCCTCCACCCCTTGATCTGAAAACACAACAGGACAGCTCCCAGGTAGTCCAATTCGGTGCCACTTTCGGAAAAATTGAAACAGGCAGTCCTTGAGTGGTAGAGCGAGGCCTCCTGTGACCGGCCAGAAACCACTTGCTTCTAGGCCCAACTCTTCTGGGATCTGGGCTGACCTTTAGTCCACCACCCCCTTCTTTTTCTATCTGGCGACGCAGCACTTCCAGGCTCCTCCATGTATGTACTCAGTTCGCGGGAGCTTCTGATGCGGAAGAATGGCTCGCAAAAAGCTTCTGCAAATTAATCCTCGCCGATTGGATGGAATTTGAATTTTGAGGAAGCTGGCGGAGGGCTTCTTGCAATGTCGAGTTCAGATAACAGTATGCCTCGTGTGTGATGGAGCCCTTCAAGTACTGACGTCGGAAGTCTTTGCCCATCAGCATGATCGCAAAAATCACGTGTTGCGGATGAGGATCGATTGCGACTAAGGAGACCGTCAGCGACTGTGCAGGAAGTTCGGTTTCAGCAGCACTGTTGGAGGAGGGGTGCTGTTGGCGGCTCCGCCTAAGAATATATGTGCTTTCGAGGCCGAATTTCAGGACGTTGAAGCATTCGTGCTCGGCCCAGAGACTCAGCTGCTCCACTTCCCACAGCAGGTGCGACTGATGGGCGGCCTCGACGGCGTCGGTGAGGATCAATATGCCCAGGTAGTAGAGCAGCATGGTCTCGTACCAGTGGAGTCGGTCGACCTGCCCCAGGAAGTGCAGCTGGTTCTCGCAATTGCGCACGATCGGCAGAATGGTCGTCTTGAAGACGCGGACGGCGTCGAGCAGGTGATTCCACTCGAACTGGACGCCGGCCCGGGTAACGCCTTCTCTCAGCGCCTCCCTAATACTGGCGATGATCATCCACGTGTATATTGTGCACACGGACGCCGCCGACGTGATCTGAGGCGCGACGTCCGACGAAACCCGGAAACCTGGAAGGCGCCAGTCGTGAGTCCGCTCGTGGAACGAATCGACCAAGAAGGAGCGGGCCCGTTGCCACACGGGCTCACTGTACGCGCCTTCCAGGCCCGAAAACAAGGTCGATCGGAAACTGAACGTCATCGAATCCAACGTGTCCCAGGTGATGCTCGCCCAGTACGCCCGGTCTGCGAGGTTCAGGTATTCCTCCGTGCGAAGGGGCTTCGGGCTGGCGGCGGTTTGTTGGTCGGTGTTGTTGTGATTCGGCGACGCGTCCGACCGGGCCGAGATCTCCGAGCCGGTGAATTGGCAAACCAGGCGCTCGCGGAGGATTTGGACGTGGAGCAGCGCGGTCTTGCCGCAGACCACGCCGTTCATGCCGTCCGATTCCTCCTCCGGCGAGATGCCCAGCGGCACGGGAGTCTGGGCGTACAGGTACAACGCCAGCACCGCTTGGTATGAGGGCACGTTGATGGCCTGGAGCATGTCCTTCCTCGCCGTGCGCCAGCATGACCGGTTGATTTCGTCAAAGGGCAGCCCCGAATGCCTGCCTCCGGATTCCGTGCGCACGAAGAGCGGGAGCCACCGGGCGATGTAGGCGTGCAGTGCGCTCCGCAGATATGGGTCAATCTCCTGTTTGTCTTGCCTGATTCTCCGAAACACGGTCGCCGGCAGAAAACCCGGGTACTGGGCGACTTGCTCGTCCATGAAGATGTCGAGATCCACAAAGAGCTTCAGCGGAGGCACACTTATATCGCTGGCCGGCTCGTCCCTTTGTCAGAAATAATCAGTCTCGACTCCCACTGGGCCTTTGTTCAGAAATGGATTCTCGGATACGCACACCAAGGGGCAGCCATGTCTGCCCACCCACCTCCCGAAAATGGCCCCGAAGCAATTTGAGAACAAGTCCTCGACACACTGTGCAAGTAGTCTATCAACCAACTCGGCTTCTGCGTCGGGACGGCGTTCCTCGGACGAAGGAACACTACAATTTCCGTCAATCTCAGCACAAAAGATAAAGCGAAACAACGCGAGCACTCGCCTGGGATCCATAATGTCGTCGATATCATTGGTGTCCTCCCCTCCCCTTGAGACTCCCCATGGAGCAGAGCCGCGGTGGTCTGGGAGATCTGGTCCGCTTCCCCCGTCGATAGCACTTGGCGTAGGTGCAGGTTGAGAGCTTGGATGATGACGCTGCCTTGGGGGTGTTTTCTTAATCCACTAAGAAGCAGAATGGTCAGTCAAATGCCACCCTGGGCAACTTTTCTCGGGTCGATCAGAGCAGAAGCGCAGAGCAAGTGTTTGCTTTACCTCAAAGGTGCATGGTCGGCCCCTCGTGGTACATCGCGAACATGAGCCGCCCCAGTCTGCCTGGCCTGGTTGGTAGCCGAATCTCGAGGCGTCGCACGCCAGTCGAGACTGACGGCACCGATCGCAGCTGGAGAATTGCGTCCTACGAGGGATAATATGGGTCAATTTCGCGGATCTCGTAGGCATTGGGTTGGGGCTCGCTGCACAAAATGTCACAGAAGACGATAACGACGCGGCTGTTGAAGCAGATTTTGATCGAGGTGGTCGAGGTGGTCGAGGTGGTCGTGGGTGAAGGGATGGTGGACAGATTTACGAGCGACTTGGAAGCTCAAGTGCTGGACAGTGCCAAGCATCGTGGCAACCTCGGCGTATTATAATTGTTCTCTGGCCCCCGTGGGCCGGTCAGATGTGGGCGCTGGAGACGGACATTGGGGGCGAGGTTGGGCGTGCGACTCGTCATTTCTGCGCTCTAGGCCCCTGGCATGCACCCCCAACTACTCGGTAGCTACCTAGGTAACTACAGGCTCCCCGTGGCTGGGCGGGGCCACCCAGGGGCTGGGTGTCTGCAACATGCTTGCTCCCAGCCTTGGTCAGCGCCTACCTAGGTATGGCTGTTCTAGACTCCCCCAGGGCCCAGTGTCAGAGGAGGCTTCTAACTACCGCCCTCCCCCCGGCTTCATCGAGCGCCCTGAGGCCTAAGAGCGCGTTATTGCGGTGGCCCGAAAAGCCCCCGATGGGTGCCCGACACATTCGGATTGCCCTTGCGCAGTTCCTCCCAACTCTCCGCCATGGTCTCCCTGGCAGCTTTTGCTCTGAGACACCATTCTCTGTCGACATGTTCTTTAGCAAAGCGGATCAATTCATTCTGCGTCGTGGTGGCGGAATGGATGTCGAGCAAGCGGTTGCCCATATCCTCGAGGTTCTTGACAACCGTGACGCCCAAGACGGCTTTGGTGACGTCACCCAAGTTCGTGGCACTGAAGGGAACGTCTACACCGTTGTACAATGTCGCCGTGCGCCTGTGAAGATCCACGAGGAAGCCTTCTCTCAGTCCTCCAAGATAGAAGTCTGGTCGTCGCTTTTCTCCCAGGGACAGTCGCGCCAAATATCCAGCTGGCTGTTCGCTTGAACAGCAGTCCATCCACCAGCTGGTCACAGGAAGCCGCCCGATCCGTCTCTGCCGCACGCGTCGTCTCTATAGTAGGTTTCCTTCCCTCGATAATTGGACCCTCCTCCGCATGAGCAATGCAAGACACGATAAATTCAATCTCGCTTTCAATGACGGGAGGGAAGTTGGCGAACGATTCTTGGGCCCCGGGGACGAGAAAAATGCTGGGATATCCCGCGCAGGCGATGGCCCCTTCGGTCCGTCTCGCCAATGCTCTTGAATCGTCCTGCCTCTACGTCCGACAGTCTTTACGCGGAGATAGTTCCCTCGATTGCGTCAAATCCCGTGGCAAATATGAGCACATCCAGCTCGTGTGTGCTTCCATCTGAGAGTTCGCTGCCTTGGTCGACTATCCTCGCGATGCGATTCGCCCTTGGGTCGACGACGTCGACGTTGTCGCGATTGAAAATCTGACAGTATCCAGTGTCACACAAGGATCGACGGGCGTAGAGATCGCGCGGCTTGAGAATGTCTGCCCTTCGCGGGTCTTTCACGATAGAAACGATTTTCCCGCGGCTGAACTTGCAAGCTTCCTCGTTGGCGGCTTCGTCGGAGACAAGGTCCCCGAATGCACTGAACATGAAACGGAGGCCGTTGCCCTGCTCCCTTACTTTCTGAAAGGCCGCTTCGCGCTCTTCTGGAATGGCCTCCATCGTCATGCGGCCGACCTCGGGGGCACCGAACCCGACCGCTGAGGTCCACTCGCCGTTCCATGTGCCATCGTAGTTCCTGTTGATCTGTTCGCGCTCACCGGCCGAGACGGGACCCTGGCCACTAGGGACCGGGTACTGTGGGTGGCGTTGAAAGGATTGAAGCTTGCCGACGACCTGGGCTATGGCGGTCATGACCTGGATACCAGTCGAACCATTTCCAACGATACCGACGCTCTTGCCCTCGAGTCGAACGGTGTTGTCCCATTGGGCTATGTGTACCGCTTGGCCTTTGAACGTACTCAAGCCCGGGATCTCTGGATAGTTTGGTTTGGAAAGCCACCCCGAGGCAGTTCGCCAGGTAGCGGGCGGAAAAGGCCTTGCCTGTCGAAGTCGCGATGCGCCTTTGGCAGACCGAGTCATCCTACGTGGCCGATATCATTTCGACGCCAAACGCCAGTAGGTCATGTTTCTTGACAGCGTGTCGAAGGTACTCTAAGATCTCGGGCTGAGAGAGATAGCGTGACGACCACGGATAGGTTTGAAGGCCTTCCTTATCCCACGAGTATCTAAACAGGTAGCTTTCCGTGTCACTCATGGCGCCGGGGTACCTGTTGAAGTACCACGTACCGCCTACATCGTCTGCACTGTCGATGCATTGCACACTCAGGCCCATGCGTGAGAGATGCCACATCGCATATATGCCACCGAATCCCGTACCCACGACAACCGCGTCGCAACAATTCGATCCGTTGTGGCGAGGGATTCGACTGTGTGTGAAACAGTCAAAGATAGTCAAAGAGGACCTGTCTTGTTCAAGCAGGGCCGCTTCCTTCAGATGCAGAGATCACCAATATTAAATATTGCCGTCGATAATTCCCTACCTGCGTTACCTTCAATGCTGACCTTCAGGGGGTGTTCGCAAGTCTTCCTCATGTCAACGTTGGCTCACAAACGATTCTGACGATGTGGTCGCCATCTGCCGAGATCAGTGGAAGACATAGCGGAGGCCGTTTTGACAGTGTCCCGCTCCTGCTTCGAGGATGCAACGGAACCGACGGATGCGCGGTTAGCAGCCTCATTTGGAAGGTATTCGGTCGTTCTTCTCGACACTTGTGTGTGCTGGGCCTCTGTCCCCTGGGACATTCGCAGCGGAGGCTGCAATGCGAGTCGACTGTCGAAGGGCTATCTGCGGGTGTCTTCATGATGGCCCCGTACTCCAGTCCCCGGCCTGAGGTTTCGTGTTAAGCGTCGATAAAGGTTGGAACTATATCTCGGTTCCGGCTTCTAGCTTGACTCCGACCCCAGGAATCCCTGCATCGAGGGTTCGTGTTCTCTCGTGGGCAATGTCGACGGAAGAGCACGTCTGCATCGAGTCCTCGGGTTCTAGACGTTCTCTTGGCCTTTTCACGTCGTACGTATAGATATGCGTTCCCAAGAGCTTCTGAGGAGATCACAGATATCCTCCAGCACTTCTTCTAGTCCTTTCAACGCGATCAAGCGAGGCATTATTGGGGAGTTTATCGTATCTCCCAACGATATCGTATCTTGAGGCCCTCAACGGAGAAGATGGCGATGGACAACGGTACCATTGAAGGTGACGAAAAACAACTGGAAGGAGACAAAGTCGAACAACAACTTGAGAATGTCCCAGCTGTGATGCCGCCCGCCGCAGACGACGGACTCGTCACGCTGAATACTGGGTTTGTCGTTTCGGTAGGACGACCGCGTCCCATGCCTCCAACACGAGCACCACAACTTGCCGAGTAATGACTGGCTCCTGACATTCGAGAACCCCAGATCCTCTCGACCCAGTTCGGCACAGCATTCTGGCCCATACCAACAGTGACCGCCATGGGAGGCACAGTCGCCCGAAGCCTCGGAGACGCCGATGCAGCCACCTGGTGCGTGTAGTCCTTTGTGTTGGCGGTCTGTATCGCTTTCATGACCTGCGGTGCCAACTCGGACTTGTTCGGACGACGAGATTTCGTCCTCTTTGGTAACGTTCTCACATTCGTATGTGGACATCGGCACCGCGCATTGAGAATCGACGATCCCGAACTGACTTGGTCTTGATTTAGATCAGTAACATCGTGGCTAGAAGCGCGAAACAGGCCAACACGGTCATGATAGCCATGACCGTAATGGACTTTGGCTCTGGCAACTGTCAACTTGCCGCGTTCGACCTACTAATGTCTCCTCGAATGAATCGAGCGCTGACAGGTTCCTAACTGCGTCTGACAGCCGGAATTGGTGCCAAATAAGAGGCGCCACATAGGTATGAGAATATCGCGTCCTTTGTGACAGTTTGGTGAAATACCTGGCTGTCCTAGGTGTTGTCATGACCGATCTGTGCCTCTTCGTCGGCACCCTTGTGAGTTTCTCGAGTGCAGAGCGAAGGAGACCATCGAAATATTGATACAACTCTGCAAGTCGGTCCCGTTGCAGGCAGGTATGTTGCTCTGCACGACAATGCGTGGAGATGGTACTTCGATGCTCCCGCCATTTCGCACGTAGATCATCATGTTTCACCTTGCCGGATCGTCATTGCTGAGGCCTCCAGATGTTCTGCTTTGCTGGAATCTATGTCCTATATCATCCTCCAAAGCATCCCAGAGGAGTCCCTTGGAAGGAGGCACTCCGCAATCTGGACCATGTTGGCATTGTCCTCTTCGTCATTGGTGGGACATTGTGTGTAATTCACACAAAAACCACTCTTCCGCCGCGGCCACTCTCAATCCTGACGAGGCCACAGAACCATGACAGGATGCCTTCTCATCACCACAATACCGTGTTCGGATCGACGTGTCGTGGCTCCCCTGACCCGTGGGCCTCGTTTTCGTGACCCTCTTCGGTCTTTGGGAGAATCAAGCAGAGCAGAGATTCAACGACCGATATCCACTGTGCCCACGACACGTGTTTACCAAGGGCGAGGAGATGGACACGACTGCACCGTTCCTCGTTGTATTTGTGAGTGCCCTGTCAGGATCATTAGTTGCGGGCAGTTTGCTCCTGTTTCCTCCCTCAGCACTAAATTTGAAATGCCATCTAGACATAAACCATGTTTTACTACATCATCAGGTGTAAGTGATGCCAAAGAATGACGGAACGGGGGGCCACTCGGAGACTGACACTTCTAGCAATGTCTTTTGGGGCGGCACCACTGACATCACCACCGGGGTTCTCACCTCATTGACCCCGAATATTGGTCTCGTTGTGGGCGGCATGTTGACGGTGGCATTTGTTAGCCGCCTGCGAAATTGGAAATGGACGCTCACAGGCTCTGTGGTGATCACGGGGCTATTCGGGGCTCCGCTGGCACTCGGCCAGCCAGGCCGGAAGGGCATGATGATTGCTTTCCTGGTTCCGAATCAGATTACCATGGGATGGGGCCAGTATCTCTCCATTGCCCATACACAACTTGAGTAAGGTGTTTCCGCCACACTTCGGTTTGACGATTCCTGACACCGTCCAAGTGGACCAAGAAGATCTAGGAGTGTCAGGTGGGCTCTCCGGTGTGGCACGCAACGGCGGCGGCGTGGTGGTCCTCACCGTCTGTACGTCCGTTCTCACCAATGTCCAAGCGAAGAGTATGGATGACCCCGTACCACCCGCGGCTACGGCGGCAGGCTTGTCTTCAACTTCAGTCGAGGCCACTGTTGTGTGCCTTGCCACTGGAAGCGACGGCACTATCTGCCGTGCCAGGTATCAGCGAAGGCATTCTCGCAGAAGCGCTTGCGGCGTTTCAACAGTCCTATGTCGAGCACTGAGGTAGGTAACGAAGCATCATCCCTGCCAGCACATCCCCTTTTCGACAGGCTGCGGTTGCAAGGACACTTACTGACAATTGGATGCTCTTCTTCCAGAACGACCGCTCTGGCCTCTGTCTCCTTTGGAGGTATCGGCATATTAGCGAGCTCATGGTGCAAGGACATCGACTTACGAATGACAAATAGGGTCGAAATTTATCTGGAGAACGACAAAAATGCGGATAGAAACAAGTTTCATCAGTCTCGACCGACTCTCTTGTTCCCTGAGGTCCACGGAATGCTCATATGTCGATCGGAGGTTGAAGTCAGCCTTGGTGCTGTCTGGTAGAACAACGGGCAAAGCAGTAGAGAAAGGGATAGCGTCCGCCCGGCACCCTTGCCATCTGGAAGTTAGTGCAGTGAACGTCCTTCCTGTCGTCAAAGTCTTCATAATGGGAGAAGGTGACACGGCCACCAATATCATCGAGATAGTCCTAGCGCCGGCGTACTCTCGAAGAGCTGAGAGAGAAGCGGGGCTGATGAAGAGAGGGATGCTATGAGAACGACAGAGCGGAGGATGAAGATCGTCTGTGCTGTTGAGGAGCTGAGAGAGACACGACGGAGGAAACAGAGGAAACGCCAGACTTTTGGGTTGAGTACCTGTGTCACGGACTCGTCCCTCTCAAACAAGTTGCCGGAATTGATTATGTATATCACACAACCAAACCGCCCTCTCTCTTAGACGGTCCTTCCTCTGGCTTTCTCGTCAGTTCATGCTTATTGAGATGTTGGCAGTGTATCGACAAGGACTTACCTATAGAATTCGTCCTCGAGCACAACTGTCGAGACCAGAGCGGCTCCTGAAAATGTCGGACTCGGTAGACATATGAATAACTAGCACTGACCAAGATAGAGGCCTGGTGACCGCCTGTGGATCCCTGAATCTTGATTGCGCGAGCCTTGGGCGCTGGTGTAAGAAAGAAGTCTCGTTCGATAGTCAGATTCGAGGAGTGAAGACAGCTTCATCCGAGGGAGTCTCACTCTGCTCTCACTGCACACAAATTGAAGCCTTTTTCCCATGTAATCTTGTGCTGTGCTCGCCCTTTCACCTTCACCAAAGCAATTCCCTGTTGCATGAGCCAGTCCGTACCGAGTCACTGAGAAGCCACAAACCGGTGCATGGACAAAACCTTTCGGCCACTCCAGTACTGGAGCATTCTTGTTTGACGCTTCCTCTCTTCTCGGGTGACATTTCGATCGATAGTGGCAGAGGACTATCCAAGCAGAGGAGTAAGATCCAACAACAGCCTCGACACCTGTGACGCGATTTGGTCGTTTGTTTCTCCTGACTATCTGCAATCAGATCAGTTTGATAGCAAATAAAGTGTCACGGACAGACAGGGGCGGGATGGTTTCAATTTTCTTTTCTTTTTCTCTTTATATTTTTAAGATCTCTGGAGGGAAAGAAAGAAAACCACACCCCCCCCCCCCCCCCCCCCCCCCCCCCCCCCCCCCCCCCATTCCCCTGCAAGTTTTTGCATATGGCTGGGTACCTAATTTTCTTTCCGGACTGGCGAGATGAGCTCCCCGATACCAACCTCCAAATAATGGGACCAGATGAATGGGACGAGATGGCAGACGAAATCGGTGACAATGGAGGGCAGCGCACTCTCGAATTTCTTCTTCGCATCGTCGGGCTTGGCTTGGCCGGCACCATTGGCATTCTCGGGGTTTTCCTCCTGTGGTTGGCCTTCAAAATAGCGGTCAGGTTATATTTGAGGTTGATGCGCAACCGGGGAGCGGATCATACATGAGGGAAAGCCTTGACGTATTGAGTCGCCACGATGTCCTCTACCATCCTTTCATGCCGAACCACCAAGACGAATACCGACAAAGTCTGACGGAGCACCAACATCGTCGAGGGATCAATCCACGAGAGAGGCAGAGAATTCCCGGACGGCCTATAGGCCCTGTCGAAATTGTTCAAAGTCGATAACAATCTTGGGTCGAGCGGTAAAACAGGACCAGCACTGGAGGAGAATGACTTGTCAAACCAGGGTATCTCGGTTGAACGCGGGACGAAGGATACACCGCATCAGAACGTTGCTGACCACCTTTCGAGCTTAGTGGTTCATTTGATATCATATCACCGGCTATGCAGAATCGATTCAGGTCAACCCACAAATGCGAGTCTGAAATCTCGATGATTCGTTCGTTCTTGTCTAGGCGATCTCTACCAACCAGATCTCGCATTCTCAATGGTTCATTCTTCCTTAGCCCGACACATACCGCAATTACGCGGCCCGAGCATCGAGCAAGAACCGGCTTCACGAATGTCCAGATATTCAATGACTGGGAAGCGGGAGACTCACCAGAGTCCAGTTCACGGTAGGCGGGATATTTGGCTCTCCGCAAGGTTATGTGATATGGCTGGCCGACCGACCGACCGACCGCCACCAGCGGAGGTTGTGTCGGCCGCGACTATCCTTCAGAGTTTCGAGGGAATAAGTAAACTGAACACCGACGAAAGAGACCTCGAAACACAGCTTGGATAGTTCGGGAATCGGGATGTCTAGTACTGAGCGAGCGGAGGCAGCGAGTGAAGAGATGTGTAACCTGTCTTTGCAAGACCCATGGCTCTTCGTGGAAACGAGGCACGTCTGCGGTGGTGACGCTGGTAGATTAAGATTGGGCATGCGGTTGAGGTTGCTGGTCAGGAGTCTCGGGTCTCGACGGGGATATCTGTACCCAGTGAATGTTTGAGGGGTAATTCTGATCCCAGAACTTTTTCTATTTCAGGCCCTGGCCTAAATCGAAGTGCAAAAGCCCTGGGGCGAGGAAGCCGAGGAAGGGTTCCAAGCCAAACGTCTGTGCGTACGTTGTCACCGCTTGCTGGTAGACGCGAAGTCCTCTCCGGATGAGATGGCCGGGTAAGTGCGGAGGCTGTTGGACAGAATCTCCTTGCCAAGTGAGTGAAGAGGGACGATGTAGCACGCGAGAGGCAAGGCCAATCGACTGCGACATGACCTCTCGAGATCGAACTTGACCACCGCGTTGGAGATGAGGTAGTCGGCCTCAGAGGTTTGAGAGTAGTGGTGGAGAAAGGTGCTGCACACTGAAAGCGACCGAAAGCGATCACAGTCGGACAGTTGGGGTCAAGATTTGGGTCAAGATCAGCCGCCACTTGATAAAGGAATGGGCTGCTTCAGCCAGTGTAGAGACCGGCATCTCTTGTCGATTGAGGGGGAAAGACTAGCAAAAAGTTGAGCCCGGCGAGCAAGGAGTGAGTCCTCGTCCAAGTGGAGGTCCAAGCCATCGAGGACTGGCGCCATAAGTGGGAATGGCGTGGATTGGAAGCCGCCTTGCGCCTCGGAGCAAATTGGTTGAAGAAAAGTGTGTGTCGTGCCGGCAAGATCGATTGTGGAAAGGCTTGGAGGTATTCTCCGTCAAAGCGAGTAACTGTTCATGATCTGGCAACTATGGCGGATAAGACAATAAACGGTGGATTCCGTGGGGAGACCCTCGACATGTAGCGAAATCGACCGGCGCAGGGTCTTGTCATCCCAGGTGATGATGAGTGAGGATCAGAATTATTTTAATGACAACAGTTCCAAGGTACACATGTGTGACTGACAAGTTGCCAAGGGAATGGAAAGACGGTCACGGTAATTACCGACTAGCCGTTTGAGGTCTTCGGCCGAATACCTCCGAGTACCGTTAGTAAGCTTCTGTAAATTGTCTCATAGTACTCGGTATTTGTGCACAGTCAGACGGTTCCCCAGGAATATCACCACTTTACCTCATTGAGACACGGTAATAGTGGCAGGAAGTCACGTGCTACAACACGGCCTCCGCTTTTCTGGCAGGCAAAGCATAAAGCCTGCCATAACGGAAGAAGGTTGAAGCGACTCCGGCAGTGACATCAAAGATCCCTTCCGCCAGACCTTCCCTCCTCAAAGCGACCTTCATTAGCCCTTACCATCACGTGAGCCTTTGTTGCGTCGGCATTGCCTGCGTCATGTCCAACACCTCAGGGACGCAGGCTAGGCCTCACCTCTCGAAACAAACCCTGACTTGACGCGCAGGATAGAGGCGCTTCTGTCGCCATACTAGTATTCTGGACACGCTCTCGTGCCCAGTACAGCATCATGAACCTGATTTCCTTATGACCACAACTCAACTCCTCAACCAGCGCAAGCGCCAAAATGCAGAGCACCAGCCACCTCCACGGAGCGAAACATGTCAACGTCACTCCAAAAGAACGAAGCGAAGTCACGACAATGAACCTCACTTTCCACCGGCTTTCTGGGAAAATCTATCTAGGATTGAGCTGACACATCGTGCTTTGAAAGAGCTTGATCGAAGGAACAATCAGGGGGCGCCGGATTTCCATCGAATCCCTCCAACATTACATCGCCCGATCACCAGAGGCGTTCTCGGTCATGTCGAAAAGAGTCCCACAACTGCTTTCCCTTCCAGTTTCCTCTGTCATCACGGGCAAAAGTCCCTGAAGGATTTAAAATGGTTTGCGAGATTTGGCGGCCCAGATTTATCTGATTTGAGAGCCGTGAGTAACCCTCTCTAGGTGGTTTTCGGCGCTGACCTCTCCTTAGTTTCCAGAACCTGTTGACCCTCCACATCGCACGACGAGCTCAAACCGCCTTCAATCGTCTGGCCGGAAACTCGACTCCCAATCCCTTTCGACCTCTCGATCCACCTCAATTACCCCCGCCACCAAAAGCACGGGCCCGTACAACCGTAATTTTCAACAAAACCTCATCGATGGTGGAGTCTACCCCCACGGATACAAGTTCCCGGATGGTCGAGTGCCCAAGAAACCAGACAATTGGGTGGAGCTTAGTCGTCGATTGGTATTACCACGGCGCTCTCTCTCACCTTCTAAGTTCTCAGACAAAGAGCATGAAAAGTTTGTGCAGGCGGATGGAGACGCTGTCAAAGAGGAACAAGTGACCACATCGGTAATTCCAACTATTGAGGGAAATATTGGCGATAGCAAATGCGTTTCTGGAGGGATCGAATTCGCAAACCTCCATCATCTCACGGACGGAACAATCGCCCCTGGCAATCCAGACATCTACTACGGCGCACGTCCCGAACAGCTTGATCGACGTGTGCGTGACGAGCTGAGTAGCTATATTATTCCGTCGGCGCAGGACGGCCTGCCTATCGCACCCAATTTCTTTCTTGCGGTTAAAGGCCCGGCCGGATCATTATCGGTTGCAGCCAAGCAGGCTAGCTACAATGGGGCTTTAGGAGAGAGAGGCATACTCAGCCTACTGTCAGATGGACAAGAGGAACCAGTTTTTGATAATAACGCACATACAATTTCGTCAATCTATCATGGGGGTCAGCTTAAGTTGTACACCATTCATGGTATTCCGCCAACCAATCCTGAAAGTCGGCCAGCATATTTTATGCATCAATTGAGATCATTTGCCATGGCTGATACTGCTGAAACGTTCCGACAAGGAGCCACTGCCTACAGAAATGCCCGAGACTGGGCGAAAGAACAGAGAGACGTGGCAATCCCACTGTCGAACGGGCGGGTAAATGACAGTCAAAGGACCGAACTTGCTGTTGAGGCGGGCTTTGAGCAAGTCAACAGCTTCACAAATGAGCCTGCATTGGACGAAGCCGATACGACTGAGACTCTCAGTCAAGAGTCCCGAATCTCGCTGAGCCACGATTCCAACACCACGATAGGCCTTCAAGGCTCTGAATCCCTGTCGGACCTGCTCTCTAGGAATAGTCGACCTGCCAAACGTCTGAACAGACATTCCTGGCAACATTCTCCCCCTCAGAGAAAGCGACACAATGCTGCTGGCTCTTGAAACGGTTGCACAAATGAGTGATTCTCTGTCGCCATTGCTCAGGGGCGAACTCCCCGCCGCCTCACTTAGGGAGGACTGACGATTCACTTCAGCAACATAGTCCCGTTATATGGCCGTTGGTCTTTCTGCTCACCGTCCTGCGGCTTGGAGGATAATGGTACGCAGACCCGACGACTTGCTCAGATATTCCAGGGTGCGACGGTGGTTCAAGTTCGATATTATCCATGCAACCCACCGTCTTCGGCTAGCCATGAAGCCAAGACTGCGCGCCCTACAACATTATGACGCAGTCTGAAAATCATTGAGCATCTGAAGCGGATCATAGGCTCCAATCCTGCGCTTATGTCTATCCATAGGAGCGCGAGGCGGCGCCCGCTCCGTATCCTTGAAATGCTTCTTGGCTCGTTTGACCTGCGTCAATCTCAACCACCAAATGATCAGCAACGAGGGGTTCTATTGTCCACAAGGCCGATCGTATGCCTGTCCGTACAGGATTCTTAGTCTCGGAAGTAATGAGCAGTCCGGCAGTAAGGCTCTGAAGTCATCACTTCACCTGTCTTGCATTGACGGATCTCTTGCCGAGTCGATTGAGCTCCGTTTGTAAAAGTCTGATTTTGGTCGTCAAATCCTGCAGTTGAGTCTGCCATATTTGTTTCTTCGCCGCCAGCGAAAGATTCTGGAACGTGATCAGAGAGTGTATCCTGCAGTGGAAAGCCGGATGAATGGTCTTGACAAGATTGGTTGTGAGAAACAGGAGTCCTGAAAGCGTTCAAGATGGCGGAGAAGGACGGATATATGCTTCGGCAACGAGAAACTACTTTGTATCCTTGGGTCACTCTAGGAGCACTGTAGGAGCCGTCTACGGGAATAGAGCAGTGGGTTTCTTGGGCGGCATGTCTCTCCATTTTTCCAACTATCAATCTATCTCTCTTCGTAAACCAGTTGCAATTTTGGGAGGGCTTTCTCATTATCTTTCAAACCACAATATCCTCCCATCCCTTTTTTTGGTGTTTCTGCATATCTTCTGAGCCATTACTCTCCCTCGGTCTCCCTCTTTGGGTGTGTTTCTGTGATGATTTTCTTTCTCAGTAGCTCACCAAGGCTCCGCCTCGGTTCCCATCTTCGGGGTGTCTCTTTGTAGAAATTCCATGCAATCTGTGTTTCCGAATCCATTCACTGTGGCCGAGATGTCTCAGTCCTGGTGCCTCAATCTCCTTCCTCTCCGGCGTGGTGCTTCTGAACGTGTTGTCCGTTGCTTACCTTTCCACGGCTCCCAAAGAGAGCGTTGTCTGCGTTTCCCCTCGTGTCAGTTCTTTCTAGGTGGTTACTTTAGACAGCTCTTCCAGGGCCACCGCCGCAAAGACCACGTCGAAGTTCTTGTCGAAGACGTGGACAAAAGCCTCGTCGAACGCGGGGATGAACCAAACTCTGAACTCTCGTGCGAATTTCTCCTCGTAGACCTCTTGGAATTTATCCTGGAGTAACGTGTCATACTGGCCGTCAGACGCCTCGCGGAAGATCGCCTCGTCAACTTCTGGAGACAGCTGCAGGCGCGGGAGTATGCCATAATTGACCCCGTCCCCGACCTCGTTGTTCAAGCGGCGCAGGACCTCGCAGCCAATCGACCGATACACGTTCTGCTGGACGTCGTCGGAGATTCTTGCGCGCACCTCTTCTCGAGTCATGTTCCAGACTATCTCGCCGATTTCCTGGAACCGCGGCTCGAATGCCGATCCGAGTGCCTGGTCGAAACTCCTCCGGTAGCGCGCTTCGAACTCCTCGTGGAACTTGGTGTCGAAACATACTTCGAAGTGTCTGTTTAGCTCCGTGATGAAAATGGTAAGAGACGCATCCATCTTGCTTGGAAGGGAGAGGGGACAGACCGAGACTCAAGTCGGATGTGAAGAAGATCAGAAGGTCAAGCGTCTTTTTGGGTCAGGGTGGAAGTGGAAGTTGAGTGAGAGTTGGGTGAAGCGAGGTGTTGAACTCAGCAACCAGTGTTGAATTCGAGGCTTGATGTTGCGGATGAGGAACCTCCAGAGCAGAAGCCCGAGGAGAGAGATAGGTTGTGTATTTGCGACATGATGAGCCAGGGCAGTTGATTCAAGGCAGCACCCAAGATGCCTCTTGATACAAAGGAATTTGAGCCAAGGCAGTGGGAAAGGCAGTCCCGGCAGAGGCAGTGAGCTTGGGCAGTGTACAAATGGAAGTGGTTGTAACGCCATAGCTTCACGCGAAAGAGAATTCATAGAGTGAGGTGGTGAATGGCCGTGTCGAGAAACAATGGTGGTACTAGACACCCTCTCAATCTGATTGGTTGCATGGATATGGTGGGTCGAGGCTGAGTTTTTGGCTAAAAAGGGACTAAAGATGGAGCTATACTGCACTAAAACTGAGCTAAAATTCTAGTGGCACCATAGACTCACCGAGCTATTCTTCTTTTAGACAATTCATGCTTGTAATGACGGTAGCGCTATACCCTTTGCAGACCAAGCGTCGCAGCATTAACTATCGGAGCCATCTTTGAACCCGTGGATGAATCATCGCAGAGCTGGTACTTAGTTGACGGTCTGATTGCGGACAACAATACCCTGTTCACGCCACTGTCCCGGCTTTTACGTCCGTCGCGGTTTCTCCATGGCAAGGAAGCGGAGTGCCTTGTCAACTGCTGGTCAGCCTCGCGACTTCCGCATTCATTCAGCACGGAAAAGGTAAGATGACTAAGAGAGTACCGTGGGAGAGGGTAGGTCCGGGGTGGATGACACTATATAAGCTGGAAATCCCTCTAATTGCCAGCTCATAACGCTTCAGTTGGATTTCATGGTGCATCTGCAAGCCTAATGCATAAACACCGCAATGTGTGGCGATGACCGTTCAAACACAGAGTTCCAAGTCCTTGAGCCTGACACAACCCACTGCGCTACGCACATAAAAATATTGAGTGGCCTGTTGTGGCACCAAACACGAATCTGGAGTGTGCATGGTGAAGTTGCCCGGAATTCACAAGACAGCCTTGCGCGCACAGATTGAAGGGCGCTGCCTGACCCATTCACGCAACCTATGAGTGAAGAAATTTTTGCGGCGCGGCCTCAGCACCTCTGCCTCCACTAGTTAATACACGACGTGAGTACACAATATATATAATCTCAAACACACCATCTCTTCGATGTGTCTTCTTCTCCTGCTTCTCCCACAAGTGTACTACTACAGCAATAGTGTCAGAAGAGCAACGCTCATACTGGCATTATGGATACCACCAAGAAACAACTTTCACTCCCTCCCTCAAGTGGTGGCTCTTCCGGAGACCAGGTGCGTCAAAGTTCGACATGTCAAAGCTCGCTGCTAAACCCGAGGCAGCTGCATCAACAGGACCAGGCTCCAGAAGGCGTCGACTCTGCTGCTCCCTCTCCAAAGCAAGCGCAGGTCCCACAGCAAGAGCGTAGCGAGAGGGAGACGAATATGAACAAACGAAAACTCTCAGAGGAGTCGTGCCCAGAGAAGAGAAGGAGAACCGAAGCAGGGGCGGCCATTGTGCCTGCGGAGGATTTGATCGAACAAGGACAGTCTGGGAGCGTGACTGAGTCGACAGAGTCTGCTCTTTCAGGCGAAGGAGCCTCAGACGAATTAGATTCAAACGGAACGGCGTCAGACGAGGCAGAGTCGGAAGAAACACCCACAGACGAAGCAGAATCAGACGAAGCAGAATCAGACGAAGCAGAATCAGACGGAGCAGAATCAGACGAAGCAGAATCAGACGAAGCAGAATCAGACGGAGCAGAATCAAGCGGAGCAGAGTCAGACGAGACAGAGTCGGAAGAAACACCCACAGACGAAGCAGAATCAGAAGCAGAATCCGACGAAGCAAATGCAGAAGAAGCAGATACAGACGAGGACGAACCAGACGAAGCCGAACCGGACGAAGTAGATGCAGGCGAGCCGGACGAAGCAGATGCAGGCGAAGCAGGCTCAACCTCAGCGCGGTGCGACGGCGGAGACCGATGTCAGTGTGGTACGATCGAGCACTGGGTCAGCACCGGCATGTGGCCAAAGCGTTTCCTTGCGGCCCCATTGAGTAAGTTGGGCATCACATTCAGACCCCTATCAGGCTACTCATCAGAGACGGCCACATCATATTCTCGAGGCACACTGATGGCTGGGTGGGAGGAAGAAGACGTGCTGGAGCAGGCGGGGATCATCCTCGACGACGAGAAGGGTGGCAAGTTATTGTCCCAAGCCAGCAAGGAATTCGTGGAGGAAATGCATGCTCTGAAGGCGGACTACGAAGACCCTGCTTACTCGCCCTTCCCGCTCCACAGTTTCACTGCCTTCTCGTTCCAGATCCGCCCTCGCAACGCGTCCCGGATGTTTCGCGATGTCTGTTCGATGCTTGTGCCTTCGGCAGAGCTCCTCTACCTCGGCGGCCAGGACCACTTGGAACATGTGGTCGAAGAAGTCCTTACACCATGGAGACCGTGGACCAAACCCGACAAATTGCCAGGCCCGATTCCCATGCCATATCTTGCTGTCGGCATATCCGGATCGGGTTTCAATTCCGAAGAAATTGCCAAGCTGGACGCCTACTCCGCGAAGGGAAGACCGACGCTGTTCACGGACGAAATGTACTTTCCGTTCCTCATCTGTGAAGCGCTGGTTAAAGAGTCCAGATTCGGTCAAACCGACACTCGCGCCGCAAGAAGCGGCAGTATGGCTGTGAACGCCATCGTCCAGCTATGCCGGGCTTTGGGAGACGACGAAGCATCGAAACTCAGCGGCCAGGTCCTTGTCTTCTCAGTTTCCCAGGATTATGGGTGGGTGACGGTCTACGGACACTATGCCATCATCAAAGGAGCCAAGATTACCTTCTATCGCTCCCACGTCGATATATTCTTTCTCACCGCAGCTCCGGCAGCCAAGAACAGCAAGAACACACCTGATTTCGTGCGAAAGATTTATGACGACTTCTACCCCAAGCATCTGGCGAGGATCAAAGAGATTCTCGGCAAGATGACGTCTCCCAAAGCGCCATCGACCGCGTCTACTATTGCTTCCGAAATGACTCGGCCGCTGCAGTTGGATTTCGAGACGAAATCTTCTGCACAACCTGTCATAATCCCCAATGCGCCCAATGCTTTCGCCAGTATGACACAAGACGTGAAGCATGCTGTCAGTCTCATAGAGGTGCTGGTGGGTAAGTATCGCGGGGAGCGGGATTGGGAGAAGAAATCGCGCCGGGAGCTGATGGAAAGAGACCAGAAGGTGGAGGAGAAGTTGGATCAGGAGCGTGATGAGCAGATCGAAAAGCTTCAGAAGCAGGTGAGCGAGCTGAAGGAACTGATGGAGAGGCAGGAGGAGCAGGAGACCAAAGGGCAGGAGAAGTTACCAACGGATGGGGAGGCCCTGAATCGACACTGAGGGTTATGATTTCTCGCCTCCCTTGGTTGGCGCAGCGAGAGACAGTTTATCCCTTGTTTGCAGACATGACCCTGCGAGTTGGATACCGACCCATGGGTTGCTGGATCCGGCCTTGGGTCGTTCGTTCTTCCCACGGATGGGCTAGCCAGTTGAAGCACAGTTGTCTCACAAATCGAGGCAAGCTGGTCGGCAACAAATGTTGACGTTTTCTTGGTTTGCGGAAATCAGCACGTGAAGGCCCCTCGGATCGCGATATGGTCACCATCCCACAAGCGCAAGGATTGGAGAGCATGATTGAGTCTAGACAGTGCAGTGGTTCAGCTCCTCGTCGGGTGCAGGATCCATATGTACAGAGTCCATGCAGATCGACAGGCAGATGCATCACATCGTCACATCATCAGAGCACAAAAGCCAAAAGCCAAAACCACCCCCCAAAAAAGAGATTGAGTGATACCGGATAGGATTGCAGGGCAGATAGATATGTCAACACAGCACACGTATTAAAAAAAAGACATGTCCGAGGTTCAACTACGTTTGTACTTGTCCTTGTTCTCGTAGGTAGTTCTCATCTTCTTCCTCTTCGTCTCCCCTTGACCTACTAGAACCTTTCCTCTTTATCCAATACAGATCTTGGGGTATCTGATCTGCGGTTACCACTTGTTCCTTGCTTTCCCAATTTGGAGAAAGCCCTCAAGTCATGGATGGAGATGCGAGCCAATATTCCAGCGAGAGTCTTCCACTGAGGGCTGGCAGGCACCCAGGGTTTGATTCACGAGAATGCAATTCCTGGTAGACAGATTACCACGAATTAGCTCTGGTCGCTACATCCCGGAATGAAAACAAGTGGGCCGCTTGTGGGGGTGGATGAAGGGGATGGATGTCTCTCACCGCCATCGCACAGAACGCTCTGCCCTGTGATGTTCCTCGCCTTGGTGCTGACCAGGAAACTGACCAGGTTCGCTATGTCCTCGGGATCCTAGCCACGGTTGAGTGAGATGAGAGTTAGCGACGTTTCGCGTTAAAGAATTGATGTGTATATATAGAGAGACCAGACGCGAGTATGTAGGACCGGGGGACCTGAAAATGCTCACCTGGGCGCGCTTGAGTGCTGCTCGTGCTTGGACGGATCTCTCGAAAGCCACGCCCGGCTGGAGGCCTTCACGATTCGCAATGTCGGCATCGATGAGTTTCCACATCTGTCATTGAGTTAGTCAGTTGCACAGGAGTCCAGGGAATCCAAGCTGCTGTTGGTAGGGCGGGTTTTCTTCACATCTGTGTCAACAGGTCCGGGGCAGTATGCTGTTTTTGAAATGGCGGTGGTCAGAAAAGCGCAGAGCCCAAGGCTTTGGACAACGAACCATTCACCTGTATGCAAATCAGGTCAGTCCAGGGTCCTCTCTGTGGATCTCCGGCGAAAGAGACACTCACGTTGATATCATATTTGGCAAACTCGACTGCAGCCGTCTGCGTGAGTCCGCGAACAGCCCACTTGCTTGTTGTGTATGCCGCACTGTGGCTTGCGGACTAAGGGGCGCCCAGAAGGTAGAGTTAGAGAGTGCCCATGGCGTCTTGATTGAAAAACACAAATTGAAACCACTTGGTCCTTACCGGTCGATACCCTGCAGTCGAACAAGCCGCCACCATCTTGCCGCCCTTTCCTTGCTTGATCATCTGCTTCGCTGGGACATGTTGAGACTTTGGCCACTTCCCAAACAACAGTCCTAGACGACGAGAGTATCTTACCCGCTTCACGATAACACAGATACACTCCCCTCACATTGATCTGCAAGGCTGCTGTTAAATGGTGAGTGTGTTTTCGGAGGAGGATTCGCTCACAGCCATGATCCTGTCCCATTCTGCAACGCTGACTTCCATGATCGACTTGGGGATGAAAATACCAGCATTGGCAACCATGACCTGGTCATAGGATCAACCAAAACGAAGACTCGGCCAGTGCGTTGGGGGTGAAGATTACATTGAGTTCACCAAACTCGGTCACTATGTCGGCAACCATCTTCTGGACTTGTTCCTCATTGCTGACATCGGCGACGAAGGTGGAAGCCTTGCGTCCTGCAGTGTGAAAGATTTCAGTGTTAGGGGTGGTTCATATGTTTTATGTAGGAGCGACAGTGCGGACTGCATCACCTTTTTTCTCAATCTCGGCTTTGACGGCTTGGAGCTGCGGCAGCTGAGCTTGTACATCATTCAACTATCAAGGCAAGTTAGCATTGGGGGTTGCATCCGATGCCAGAGCTTGGCCCTCACAGCAATGTCCATGCCGTCGTCTGCCAGCTGCAGTGCTATTGCTCTTCCTATCCCCCTGGACGACCCCGTGACGGTTGCGACCACCATTGTTGCGTCTCGTCTCACCTTTTATTTTGGCAGTCTGGGCGCCGGAAGATCAGCTCGAGTCCTTCCACAAGCGTTGATGGATGATCGAGAGATGCACGGATCCCGTTCAAGTCCATTGGAGTTATCTCGAATCAGCAGAAGCTATAAATATCCGCTGGCTTCGGGTATTCGGTAGGCGAACAAAAGCGGGGGAACTGGATCAACCAAAGATAATAGAGAATGAAATTCTCCAAATCAGACTCTCTCCAACACAGCTACTAGCAAACCCTCAGACTGTCTTCCGAGGATGTGGTCACGAAGTTGCTCGGCATCTCACACATATCCTGGAAGAATAGGCAATCCGCGGGCTGAGCATGGGACGGCGACACCCTCGTCCCGCTGCGGAGTGGGATGCGAAGTCGTTTTCACTTTGCTTGGCACATCTCGTGTTCAGCCATCGGATTGATCAAGAAGTCAATTTGACGTCAATGATATTGATATTGATGTATTCTAGGGGTAGAAACCTCCCGCCATGTTGCAATACGGCAACCCATGCCCCCATGGGCCCGCGCGCCCCCTCTCAGCCGCAAGGGTGTGTGGTGTCTGGAACGAAAACATCAAGGTCGATGCTATTGCATTCTCTCTCGCAAATGCGGAATGATGGTGGTGCAATGACGAAGGAGTGCTGCTTTTAGTAAGAGCATGAGACCCGATACCAATGGTCGCGAAAGGTAGTTGTCCTAGAGTGACGCCCATAACCTAGCTAGTCGGCTCTGAGCCTTGGTCATAGCGATAATGAGGGATGAAAATCTCTGCTTGGATAGGAGAGGTAGAGTCAATGCTCTGAAGAGTGGAACCTAGGGCATTCGAAGGTTGAATCTAGGTCTGGAGTGTGTCCGTCAGTCAAGAATATACAATAGCCCCATTGTTTGATGGCTACTACTTACCGAGAAGCATGCAAGGTAGGGATCATTGAGCTCTCGAAGACGGCGTTTCATCGCACCAATGATGGCCTTTGCTGATTCTTGCAGGCCGAAGCAATTTCTGGACCGACGGGGCCGTGCAGCTCGGACAGCCATCGCGGAGCAGCCATCGCGGATAAGATCGGCCCACAAACTCGCAGTATGCTCGCTGTAGGCCCACATCCATACTTGAAGCCATGTCTGCCGGTTGGGAGGTGCTTGCAGCATGCGGAAGTCGAGACGGCGTCGAGTTTCTCCGTTGAACAGTTCCTCAAGGTTCCGGGTCGGAGGTTCATTGAGATCCACGGCTACAAGCCTGTTGCCCGGAAATTGGAAGTGAGCGTCCTCGAGAGGGTCTCTCATGGCGGGATCCCGGCCCCCAAAGGACCGCCACATCTCCACTTGGAGTGTGAGATGTGCATCCTCACCCACAACGGTGCGAACGCGCAGATCAGTAGCGCAAAAGCCGCAGTTTATCAGGTCATGACACAGTGGCCGTTGCTCGAAGAGGCCTGGCAGGCGCCGGACGGAGTCAAGAAGAATTGCAGGGAGAGAATGTCCCAGGTGAACGCAGCCGATGCCGGCGAACTTGGCCATCTCACGCGTAAGCGAGAGCTCGAAAGATCGGTCCACATAGTCTGGCGAAGGCTTGATACAATGTGGAGGAAGAGGAACGCGCATGCTGTACACGCCATGGACGATAAGCCGTCCCTGTTGAACCCGAGCGTCGAGGCGCCTGGCCACCTTCTTGCCCCGTGTGGGGTACCATCCACCATCCCTCTTGCATTTGTGGGTGAGTTCCTCAAGCTGGGGGCCATATTCGGGACCCTTTTCATACCCCCTCACGAAAGCGTCCACCATCTCTCGAGAAATTAGGGCGGGGCTATGAACGTAGCACCAAAGCGGATCAAAGGTCAGGAATAGATGGTTATGGTGATTGGGACAGCGGCACCGCGGCTTCTTTCTCCAATCAAACAGAATGTCGCAGCTGTAGCATGCCAGCATATGTGGCAAGTCCTTCTCCAGCAAGCGGACAAACAGAGCCTTCTCTTCGGGATGGTGTTGCATTCTCGGATCAAACTCGTAGGCGAGAGTATTGTAGAAGTGCTTTGAAGTCAGCATGAGGCATGCGAGAGCACTCGGTGGTAGGGATGAGGCAATGATCAACAGAAGCTCGGTCGGCAAACTGGTCAAGGGCGATGAGAAGTTCTCTGGGACCAGATCGAGGCATGGCTGACGCCTCTTTTGCGACGAGAGACGCGGGTTGAAGAAAGAGAGAAGGCTGCCCATGGCTCGGGTGGTGCAGTTGGACAAGACGGTGTTTTTGAAAAGGACCGGGGCCGATGTCAGTGGCCGCTTTGAATGCAAACTCATCTGCAAGCGAGAGAAACAGTGTAATGAAGGAGCAAATGCAGCGAATGAATGCACCATGCATGAATGAACGAGCGTGCTTTGTTGGCCAAGTGGCAGTACTTCCAAACCTCCCCTCCCTTGTGTCCATCGAGGTTTTGAGGCCGCAGTGAGCAGCAAGTAGAGTCGACATTAATTGCCATGGCAAGAGGCAGGCACGATGACGGCGGTGGTGATGGTGAGGAAAGAGTGAGGGTTGAGAGTGTGGTGGGTTGTCGCTTGCCTCATTACCTACTGCAGCAAGCCTGCCTGCCAGGTAGGTAGGTAGGTACGCGCTCGAAGTTGCCCATTAGCCGAGAAGCTACGACTAGTAGGCCGTTTGTCGCCTAAAGCACAAGCCTTGAGCGCCTAGTCAGCCCTAAAACAAGCCTCACCGCGCGGTTAGCTACAGCGACCCCGAACTAAGCCCTTCCCCCTCCCCCTCCCCGGTCTTGTGCTCTTGATAGAATCTCGAAGACTGATATCCACGGGGAATGCAGATGCGTGGTAAGAAACCCTTTCAATCATGTGACATAACTAAAATTCCAGGATAACCAATGACGACTCGGGCATTTTGGTAGTTGGGAAGAGGAAAAATCAAAAGGCGAAAAAAAAAAAAGAGGTCTAACTGGGGCTCGAACCCAGAATCTCTTGATTCGTAGTCAAGCGCGATACCATTTCGCCATTAGACCGACGGAACCAGTTGAACGAAGTCTTTTTGTTGAACACAGGTCATTGAGACACAATTTTGTGACTCGAATTTATGACATGCAAAAATAGTGTGTGGCCTAAATTGTCTTGGCGGCCCACTTACCTCCTCCTCCTCGGCGCTTACGTACTGCGGTCAGTATGGAGAACATCCTCGTGTTCAAAAGAATGAGCGGGTGGCACTGCGGCGGGAGCAAGTCGTGAGGCAGTCCTAGCAACTATCCAGCTATCTACCTAGACATGACCATCGTATTGTTGCAGCCTGTCTGTTGCTTTTCGCACTCAGAGCACAGTGCTATCTTGGGTTCCAGGTTCCAGCCAGAAGAACTCGACAAACCAAGCCATTTCGCCGCAAGGAGCAATTGCAACCCTGGATATCATCTCCTCGGCAGTAATATCACCTTGTCGATCCAGTATCCCATCTAGTTCCGATATTCATTTTGTCACCATCCTCCCAAGCCACGCCCGGTCACCAAATCCATATCCCGGCTGACCTTGATGTTCAATCTGTTTACGCTTTCCAAGCCACTCCTTGTTGTCGATCCGCATCACGGGCGGCTGACCTCGTATCTCTTCAGAAAACACCTTCTGCCTGCTCTATAGCTTTCTCCGCGTTTTCTTTACCTCCCAGTCGTGTCGCTAACCATTCCGTCGCCTTGTCAGCCACCATATCCCAGATGTCCTTCTCAGCGGAAGCCTTGACCTTCAGCCAAGCGACTGCCAGCACCGTGGCTCTGACAGTATCCTCTTCTTTGTCGGTGGTCGCCTTGAGACCAGTAAATTGCTGCTCCGTTACCCCAAGGAGATTGAGAAGATTCTTTGAACGGAGCCACGACCCGTCAAACTCCACCAAGCCAATGATTTGATGCATTTTTCCCGCGTTATCGAGCTTGGAGATGTCAACGGCTTCCTGGTGGGCGCCGGCATCCCCTGGAACGTCTTGTTTACCACGGTTCCCACCAAAGTCGAATTCCATTCCAATGCCTTTTGGGGACTGCCTCTTTCGTGATGACCCAAGGGCGCCTCCAAAAAGTCCTCCGCCACGGGCCCCTTCTGAGGGAACACCAGGTCTTCTACAAAATTTAGCAATGCCACCTCCTTTCGGGGGGCCACCAAATGTACTTGAGGGGGCACCAGCCGCGAGACTCCCTCTCGGAGGACCACCAAAGGTACTCGCAGCAGCACCGGAGGCGCCGTAACTTGCCGACAAGAGTGCTCCAGGCGGCGGCGGTATGGAAGGTGTGGATTGGAAAGACCTAACCTGCAAGTTTTGGGATCCGAAAGACATCCGTGGCACCGAAACATTGGCTGCAAAAAGCCCAACCTGCGAGTTAGGAGAACTGGATGAGACCCGGGGCATGGGCTCCGGCTCACCAATTTCCTTGCGGCTGATGCTGTCCACAGCAACGAAGGAGCACCACTTTCCTCCGACCTGGTATTCGACACCCAAACGAACGGCTTCTCGTTCAAGAAGGAGATCCCATTTCCCTTCATGAGCAGTTTTCAAAAGTTGGCCGTTAGAGCTTCGCGCTTCGGCAATCCAGCCACCTCCCTCTTCTAGCTCGAGGACTGCTTTCTTGGCCGCCAGTTGGTGAATTGTCTGGCCCATACCGATGTCCTGAACCGGAATTTCTAGCTCGAGAGGGCCATGAGCACTGGTGCCGCGAAGCACAACAGATTCCGGCGTCTTACGAGGCGCTTCGGGACCCAGTATGAGATAGACAGTGGTGCGGTTAAACGGAAACAGCGCCGGAATCTTGTGAGGTGCCTGGATGATCTTGGGGGTCGAGATGGTTGGCAAGTTGTCATAACGGCCCGCAGGAGGGTTAGTTGGTTCCTCGACTGCGTTGAGGTCGAACAGGGAAATGGGTTTCTTGGCCTCTGGCTTTTGCTGGTCAGGCATGACAGCATCCTCGGCTGGCTTGGTCACTCGGTCAACCATCTCGAAGTCTTCGTCTTCGGAAAGTGCGCTCTCGCCCACAAATTTGACCTCGAGTGTGTAGTCCGAAACGTGAGGTGTAAGAGCGCCCTTCAACATGCGAACAACTCGCTTGTCCATCTTTTCGTGTGAACCAACGAACTGCGCGAACCCGTTACCGGCCCGCGCAACCCCCTCCACCAGTGCAGACGAAGCGCTGGGACCGATACCCAAGGTGAAAAAGCGTGCGTTGGGCGTCTGCTTCACGAAAGAGAACAAGTCCTGCTGATTCCATATCTCGCCATCGGTGAGTAGCATGACCTCGAGTGGGAGGTCCTTGAAGCGGTTCTCGACGGTTGCTTTGACTGGCTGCAGCATTTCCGTACCGCCATAGTTCGCCCCGAATGTCTCCAGATGGTTCAGAGCGTCGGTGAGACTTGACTGATCGTATGTTGTGCTTTTCTTGAAGAGGAAGGAGTATGAGGATCCAAAAGAACAAATGTTGAACTTCACACCCACCGGAAGCGATTTCAGGAAGACTTTCATGGCGGTAATCAGGAGCTCCATCTTCCCTTCCATGCTCCCACTTCGATCAACGACAAACACAATTTCGGGCGAGATGTTGGGGAGGTTGAATTTTGGGACCAGCGTGGCCATGAGTGCGCGTTGGTTCGGGATGGTAGAGTGCGTCTCGAGTAAGGCGCGAGGAATCCCAGTGTCTTTGGCAAGAACAACGATGACGAAGTCTTTCTCGAGTTCCGTAGTCCCGAGTGTCAGAGTTGCCGAGGCGTGATTGCTGTCGAAAGAATCTTCCGGCATAGACGACGTCCGACCCGTGGTGACTGCGATTGGATGGCTTGGAGACTGTATGCCTTGGACGATCCCCCCGGTCGGAAGTGTCACGTCGACGCATATGGCGATGCGACCTTTGTCGGTCTTGGTGTGAAACATGGCAGTAGCAGAGTCACCCGACAGTGACCCATAGCGCGGCGCAATCATGGTCGGAATGGTAAAACGGGAGCCGTCGGTCTCAGCATCGTGTTTGAGCTCACCGAGATATACAAGTTCGACCTGAAACTTCTCCTTGGCAGGAATATTGCCGACTGACGTGGTGAAGACATCCGAGGCTTCAGGCAGTTGTTCGAGCAGACCTGCTGTTTCGCCCCGCGACACCGCTTCCTGATACTCTGCTCTCGCCTGGTGTCTCTCTTTGACCACACCGACGATCACCTTGGAGCCAATTGTGCATTTGAAGCCAACCACGCTGACTCCGTCGTAGAGCGGAAAAGTGTAATGCACGTCATCAAGGCTGTGGGCTTCATTGTTGACGAAGGTCTGCGTTAGTGTAGTGCGGGACGTTGTTGCAAGAATTTGCGTGTGAGCAGATAATTCGACTTGAGGAAGATATTTTCTTCTGGCTGTAACCGTGGTTGAAGGGAACCAGCACCCGCACAGGCGGGACTGGCCGTAGTAGTACGAGGGGACAGACATGACTGAGAAGTCAATGTTGGAAGTTTGGAAGGGTGGAAAGAGATGGAGAGGGAAAGGGGGGGAGAGAGAGAGTGAGCGAGAGAGGAATGATGGTCGGTTTTAAATCTCGTGTAGCGACACGTCACATGTGAAGCAGGCAGCCGTAGGGAGGGAGTGACAAGGCAAGGCAGAGACGAGATGTATGTGCCATACTCCCAATCAGGAAACGCGTGGTGTTCCGGCTTCAGCCAATCGTGGCGCAGCATTCGAGGCAATAGGTACCGAGTACCGAGCACAGACGAGTCTCGCTTCAGCCTCCACAAGTGTGCATTTGGAGATCAGTAGCGCTTGAGCTGAAGAATGAGAGTTCAGGCAGCAGTACCTCGTATGGACAACGAGTTACATACTGCGTAGAACTCCATGGACAACGTCAATGACTGCGGGGAGTTGGAGAGGAGGGTGACACCCAGGTGATATGTTATTCCGTTCCGGTCTAGAGGAGGCACAGTCAAACCAGCCACAGGTTGCCAACCCTGGAAGATAAGGTTGCCTGATGTGCCCGATTTGACTTTTCAAGTCCAGTCATTATGACCATGTCCATGACCATGACCATACCATGCTTGATGCAACGATTGAGCTGCGTTGAAGTCGCGCTCTGAGAGCTGGGAATGAGCCAAATCGAATGAACAAGCTTCCATTTCATCCCCGCGCCGGACAACTATGTGGTTACCAAGCGCCAGTTCGAGATAAGGTTGGTCGCAAGGAAATACACTGACGCTGCGCTTATTGCTGGGCCACGTCGAGGAGATGCGACTGTGGCATCCACATGCTCGAGCATCGACAAGGCATCCGCAACTTCCCAGCACCGTGACTGGGGATGAGAAGCATCTGTGATCAAGTCATCCGCGCCGCTGCCACAGGTCGAGGCGAAAATTGCTTCGCCGGATTGGGCGCGAGATCAAAGGCCAAATCTGAGTCTCCGTCAAGGCACGGTAAACATAGCAGGCTGGAGAATGCATGTAACACATTGAACTCAGGTCGCAAATGACATGCTCGCAATCGCTTAATTGAAGCGGGCCATTCAGCTCCGTTCCGCACAGCCACAACCTTTGGAGTCCAAGATCAAAGCCTCCGCCAAGTCAAGTGCAAGCCCAGGATCGATATGGAGAGCTGGAAGTGTGGGCAGAGCCGATCGGGGACAAGTCTATGTGGGAGCTTGCCATCAGCGCGAGTTCGAAGGACATTCGGTTGTCCTTGTCACTGCAGGTGCAGCTCTAGGTATATGGTGTCAAGTCTGATCACGCATCTCGTCAGCAGTTGGGTCCCTTACGAATTCGACCTCGTACATTCTGTTCTTCTTGAAACCAACGCCATGTAATCGGCCCACCTCTTTGAATCCCCGTCGTGTGTACCAGTCTCGCAGCGCCAGACCATTTCCTGGTGCAGTCTCGTCAACAGCCATGATAGCCATCACCTTCCTCACATCGAACTCGACGACATTGTCCTCGTGGCCCACCTCTCGCGTGAGGTGTTTGGTGGTGCGCAGCAACTCGATCAGCCGCTTGATCATTTGACTCCCAATGCCTTTGTTCGTGTGTTGCGGATGACAGAAGAGGCTGATTTCCACAGTGTGTCCGTATCCCAGCATAAAGCCACGAAAGGCTGACGCGTAGGCATAACCAACAACTTGGCGCCGGTCATCGACCGCTACCAAGTAGGGAAGATTGCGAGAGCAGCTTTCCTGAAACCGGGAGGCGACGTAGTTCGGTGGCGGCTTTTGTACCAGGAAGGAAACGACCGTATTCAGAACGTAGTGCTCGAAGATCTCTCGGATCTGGGGCAGGTCGTCCTGGGTTGCTGGGCGAACAGCAACCGCCATGGCTGCGCAGCATGGTGGAATTCATGGCGGATGCAGAGCGAATGGCGCATTTGTGCTCGGTTCATTGGCACTCACCGAGCTTCTGCCGCAACAGCCTGAGGTGGTTGGAGTCCTCAGTCACGTGGAGGGGTCAGTCACGTGAATACCACTCCGATCGGGTCGACACGGCAAGGCTTTGGTTGAGTATGGATACAGCCTCGTCGTGCATTCTTGGCATGCCTCGGAGTTTTCGGCGATTCAAATTCTTGGAAGGGCCTAGTCCCAGGCTCTTATTACCAGGAGTGCTGTGGGAGACTTCATAACTGGTATCTGGTACCTGGGTACTTGGGTAGATATAGATGCAGGCTGGGTGAGTGGTGACTGCCATGACCCAACAGTGCTCATGTGCTCTGCTCTCAAGAGTGTGTTCTCTGCAAGAGTTGTTCAATGTATGCTCTCTGCCGTTTGTTCTCCTCTCTTTGCTCTTTGAGTATTTCCTGAAGCTCCTTTACCTGTTGCTCTAACTTGTTCTGTTGCTCCTCTGACTTCTTCTGTTGCTGCTCTAGTTGCGCCAATAACAGCGTTTCCCTCTCCTCCGCCGCGCGTCGCTCCCGATCTGCATTTTCGCGTTCATCCTCGTATTGTTGCGACAATACCCCTATCAGGCATGTCGCCATTTTGTCTAGATTCCGGCGCTTGCGCGACTTCTCAGCGTTCTCGTCCTGGGATTCTGATCCATCTCGTGACTGTGATGGTACCCTCCCCCACGAATCGAATGATTGCGACCGCGACCTGGCTGGCGTAGGCCCGCTCGTACCGTGGGCAACCTTGGGTATCTCTGGATCTTCCAAATCTTCCCCGCTTGCCAAAGTCGACAGCCACCAGTCAAGTCTTTTTGGTGCTTCTGCGGTCTCGTGAGACGATTGTACTCGCTTTGGAGGTGGAGAACAGTCAGGCTGATCTTGATCAGCCTCGTGTTTTCGCGCGACATGATGATCCAGAGGTGGTGATGGTGGTGGTGGTGGGGGAAAGCCCTTGCTCAACTCGTTAGTGCGGGCCAGATATAGCGAACACTGAAGCAAACCTGATCGCATCTGGTCAGCGATGGTGATGGTAGCTGATCTGGAAGTTCATTTCGAGGACTTTGGCACGAGTCTCCTGGTGCTAGTGGAGAATCGGAGGGACGGCGAACTTTGACCCAGTCTGTGGACGTGTCCTCCTCTTCTCTTAGTCGGTTACCTAAGTTGCTGTCAGCCGAGAGGAAGTCCTGAGGATACAGAAGACCTACTCGCATCGGGCCGGAGTGACGATTCGAGTGGAGAAGCATTTGTGACCTGCATTTTGTCACAGGAGAGTGGAGAATTCGAGGACGAATGGGTGAGAGAGAAGGTGAATGATAAAGTAGTGAAAGGGAATGAATTGCTGGACACGGCAACGCACTGGATCACAAGGTGTTTGGTGTTTGACGTTAACATTAAGTGCGCATTGATGGTTGGAAAGGGCTTGACACGTGATATTGGTATGGCGCGCGCATCAGCCCAACTGTCTTGTCCTGCCACGCTTCTGGTTTCATTCTCTGTGCATCTCTCAAGTGAGAGTGTGCAGCACTTGGCCGAAAGCCATGAATCGAGGAGAACCTCAGGATGACATGGCAACGCCGCCGCCGGGTTGACGTCATTCTCGCCCACTAACACCTCCATCAACCGACGAGAAGCATCCGACCTCAGCCCAGATTGCCAGAGCGATTGAGCAATACAAGAGGGGTGGATACGTTCCCCAGGGGCGCTTACTGAGATTTCATATCGATGAGTCCCAACGTCAAGAATTGGAAAGAGAGCTGTCCGAAGGACCAAGCTCCCGCAGGCTAGCTCTTCCATTCCACGATGGAATTCTGACCACTGGTACAGGCGCGATTACTTTCCTTTTCAACGCCGCTTCGTTCGAATGCCATCGCCCATCCCAGAGCGTTTCCTTGTAAAAGTCCACGACGAGAATGGACGGCAGTCACGCGGCCTTGAGGGTCCCTCGTCCAGGTTTGCCCAGGAAACTGAATTCGAAGGCTCAGCAACCTTCAATCCCTCCGACCAGGAATACGGGCGACACGATCCGGATGGTTCATTTTCGCCATAAGCAAGAACCGTTTTCTGGGATGGTGACGGAGGCAGCATATCCGCAGCAGGGTAAGACTTTAAGAGATTTGGCAGACGACTACATCCTGGGCTCGGATTTGCGCGTTCGTGCCTTGGTTGGCTTTGACATCTCGTCCAGGGAAACGCTGCAAGAAGATGACAGGGAGTTGTGGACCACTGCCTCTGAAACTCAGGTATTCCGAGACGACAATGGGGAGCCACATCTTGATCCGCACTCTGGACTACGTGTCCAACCCAAGGGACTTTGCGAGCGCCGAGTTTCGCGAGACATTCGAGAACCTGGAAGGGACTGTTTTTATTCCGTGCGCCATTCTCTGCACCTTCCTGAACGATGCGGAGTCCAAGATCGATGTCAAGCCACGGCGGAGGTTTAGAAAGCGACGCCGAGTACCAACACCAGAAGAGGGACTCGACACCGATGACGAGGAAAATGTGGCTCAGGCAGAGACACGAGCAGCGGAGAAAGCGGACCGAGGCGATCCTTCTTTCAACATAGTTTGTCCCGTCATGGGCGCTACTCGCAAAACCCCACATAAGGATTTGTTAAATCAATCTCATCGTTTGCCATCGTAATAGAATTACGAGCCGAGCCGAGCCTCCCACTATGGAACCCCATGATCAAACTCGCTGCTTATCATGCCATCCTGCCTGATAAGGCGTCAGAAAACTTGGCGGAAATCACTTGTGCGCATTATTTGGGAACCGGGCGGTGTGCTCTCCGCGAAAAGCCCGCCGTTAAAAACTTACCGAGATGGACTACTTCAGCGGGTCAAAACGAAAGATGAACGATGTAAGACAACCCGTTTGGGGAAAAGGAAAGTCTACCTCAGTTTAGGTAATAACTGTGAACCAAAGCAAAAAGCGGTGGATTGTATGAGCGAGGGCGATCAGAGCATGGATTTTTTCCCTTGCACGAAGAGGATTCTACTATCGAGGCACACATTCCTCAGAAAGGTATGTACCAAGCTAAGAATGCTCTTTCGAAAGGGATGAAACAGCTCGCCCCCCACCCCCCTGCTCTAGTTCTCGGAACGGACAGAATCTATATAGCCCACGCCTCAAAAAGCGATACGAAGCGGTGTTGGCTGATCCAGCTTCAAATGCCGAACTCGACGTCTCTCAGTAGTAACTGGATCCATCCAACGCCAGTCTAGAGCCGTGTAGCCTGTCCCTTGCACCACATCGCGAACATATCCTCATGAGGACGCGAAATATCTCACTCAAAACACAGAGGAAAGATCTGACGGGTTGCTTTAAGACGTGAGGGTTCTTGTCACTTCCTGCTCTGTTCCCACACTGTTCTCGTGCCTCTTCTTGGCCCCATGTATCACCCCATCGCCGCTCGCATCAAGTAGGTCCGTCTCTCTCTGCACGTCTGGGTTAGGGCTCTTGATGCGCGATTAGTATGAACCATCATGAAGTCAAACTCGATGGACTTACAATGCGAGTGATTGGTTTGCCCTGTAGACAGACAGACACTAGCGCCTCGACTTGCGCCACTTCAGGTGTTGAAGAACGGCCTGATTAGTTCCGACTCCAGAGCCTTCATGAACCGGTGTCCCCGGATAAATGGCCTCCAATTGAATGGCCCATGTTTCGAAGACGGGAGGATAAAATCCTGCACAACCTTAGTCCAAAAGATAAATCGAGCGATTAGGGCCCCACTACAATGTTCCGTGGAGCGATATCCATGTGACAGAAAGGGTAATTCCACATGCATCACATCGATAGTGTGCCCACCCCTCGAAATGTACCAGCCTTGTGTTCAAGTACTTCTGGAGATCGTGCCGGGAGTGGAAATGTCTGTCCCGACGTATACTCGGACCATAGCAAGCCTCGGGCAGGGACTCCCATCTCGAGGGCCGGGACGACTGCTGCTGCTGCTGCTGCTGCTGCGAAAGCTGTGAATGTGCTGGATGGCTTGGACGATCCGGCCTTACAAGCTGTAGAGAATCACCCAGGAGTAACTGATCGAGAGGGGTTCCTTCAACAAAGTTCCATGACTAGATAGCCAGTCGTCCACAGCTCGAGGGAGGGCCTCGTGAAGAAACTGGACAAAAGACCGGCACTTTGACGACTCCTTGGATCGAACCTTTGGGATGCGAATGCTAGGGCATCGGCTTTCCGCCGCAGCGACACCGATTCCGAATCTGACAGCAAGCGTATCTGTCAACCTGACAACCAGATTGGTGACATTGGAAGGACTGAGGATGTTGACTCTGTTCTTCGCGTGATTCTGCGCGTCGTCGTATGATGGTCTCTTGTGATTCCGGACTAGAGTAATCGATGCCCATGATTGAGTATTAGTGGGGAGTTTTCCCACTGGCATTCGTGGACAAGGAAATCGGGGACGCTGCGTCGACACGATTGTGAATACTGGCTCGAGAAACTTTTCTGTGACAAAAGTTCGCCCGAGTGCGAGATGTTGGGTACGCAATTCTCGCACATTCGAGAGCAAGGGTTCTGGAGCTTTCGTCTGCCGTGTCAGTGCATTGTATGTCTACGGGCCTTGGTTATCCGCCCTTGACACTATCACATTGCGTACCTGGTAGGTAGCGCTGATGCTGTACTCCAGAAAGTCTCTTGGCAAACAATCTCAACTATGTACCCCGTCCGCCCATGTTCGGGTGCAAAAGCGTGTCGACATGTTGGACTTGCTGTTGTGTGTTTTTGGAAATGAGAATGCCTTCTGGTCTCGGAATTGCAGGACTACCTACTCAATAAGCTGAATCACAAAAATCACAACCTGCTTTCGTATCGTTTAGTCATCAGTCCCATCCATCCATCCATCCATCCATCCATCCATCCATCCATGCTGGTTTCATCGCGGCCATATCTAATTCCAAGGTGTTTGCTCACCCGCTTTCAATCAAGTTCTCGCACTCCCGATAGTCTTGACTCCATCCATTTCGCACCCACATCCGATAAGTCATTGGAGACCTTTCTCCCACCAGGGAAGCCCGTCAAAGGTTCTGCCACCGATTGGCACTTGCCGTTCCAGCCCTTGTTGACACTCGCGCCACATGCGGCCGGCGAACATGATTGTCCATCTATTCCGCCCGCATTTTGGAAATGAGTAAAAGAAAGCAACTGATCATACGCGAATCCGCCCATCCCCACCAATCCGCGTCCACCCGTCTTTGAATGAACCTTAGGAGACCATGAGAGTACTGATCCCGGTTGGATAAACATGAGGTCGGGTCGAATCCCAAAAGGATCGACGTGTTGGTGGCGGCGGTGAATATTCGGAAAAGTTGATTCCACGCATAGAGCAAGGACCTGACAGCTGGCTCAAGTCGTTCTGCCAGTCAGGTCCTCCCAGCCAGACGATTTGTAGTTCGCGGAGTGACGGCGCGTTCCATATATACTCCTCTAGCTCCGAATGGAGCTTGGAAACGACCACCATGGTAGTCATGTTCATGAGAAGAGTGAGGGACTCTAGTGATCTCGGAAGTTGACACATCTTTCTGCGATCAAACCCAGGGATCCTTGACACCATACAAACCGGAAGTCGTAAGCTAGTCAGAGATTGATACTCGGCCAGACTGTCGAGTGAGGACGGCGGTTCCCAAACGACGCAGTCCAATTTGATGGCCCGCAAAGTTGATCGACTGTGAGGATGTATAGCGTCGAAGATGTTTTGACATAGGTGAGAACCCCTCTGCCACTTCCTGCTCTCAGTTCCTGGCCATAGAGCTATATGTAATTCGTAGAGCCTAGAGCAGGCCTGAAGAAGTGGGCGTAGAGCTGAAGTTCTCAAACGTAGATACCCAGTGTGTGAGATAGTCAAGCTTGCCAGTCGACATGTTCGGAGCTGCTTGTGTTCGTGTCGAACAAGGAGATTGTCAATATGGAATTTTCTCAAACCTCGGAGAAGATGATCCATGTTGACCCGGACTTCCTTGGTCATCTCTAGTCTGCTGGTCGAAAGCTTCAGCCGAGAGTACTCCCAGTCGTCGGATGCGGCAGCTCGCGCCAGGTGAGCGAAGAATCCCTGGTCGCAGAGTGCCCGGTCAAAAGGGCTCCAGGTGAGCTCTGTAACATTGTCCAATCGCGAAAGAAGTAACGCAATCCATGCATCATCGCGATCGATGACAAGATTCAGCCGTGTCCTGCTGGTATCCGGGCCGAGTGGGGCAAGATACTCATCTGGGATTGCCCACAATATCGGGTCACGCCCGTGCAGACCGATATGAGAGTTGCATTTTAGGGTTATGCGGACTGAACGGATAAAAGATGCAAGCTTCGGGTTGGCATGGATGGACCTCACCAGGAGGGGGATCTTGTCGTAACACAGAAGGACCACCCTGTAGTACAATGGCAAACAAATTTGATGGAAGGTTTTTGAACAGCTTAAGAGCCGCCTGAGATGGATGGGGGTCTGGGTCGGGCCATAAGGTGTGGGCAGTAGCTGTAAAAAGATCTCGCGCAGGACGTTGTCGTCCAACATCTCGACTCCGCCACGATGGAGAGTTGAACAAAAGCAAGAAGTGGCGAGACAGTCAAAGCCTTGGTGGTTGAGCGCTTTCCAAGGCGGAAGAAAGATGGTTGAGAGTGGAGAGAGCAGAGTAGGAGAGTGGAGAGTGGAATTGGATTTCAGGGGGAGAAGCTTTTTTAAAGGAGATTCCGTCAGAAAGATCGCGGGGTCATGAAGGCGGGGCAAGGCGCGGCGAGGCCGGGTCTCTCCCGACTGGACGGGAACCGATGCCGCCAGCGAAGGGCATTACCTACGGACCTCGCGGAGTACCGAGTTGCATTAGGTATTGTACCTACGGGAGGTACCTAGCGAGCTAGATAGGCTTCTGAACTTGGAGGCTAGCAATCCCCACTGAAGCCTGGTGGGACCAGCACTTTTGAGGGGTTGGATATGAGTCTCGGTTCGCATCACTTCTTCGGCAGAAGCAGCTCCATTAGCTGTTTGTTCAGGTCCATCTGCTGGTTGCACAATTCCTGAAGCATGTTCTGCTGTTTGCACAATTCCCGAAGCATGTTCTGTTGTTGCTAAGAGTCTTTTCGTTGCTGTTCTAGCTGAGCCACGAGCATCATCTCCCTGTCCTTCGCATCCTTCCGTTCTTGCTCCAGGTGCTGTTGCTGGTTCCAAATCATGATTCGCAGCCGGGTTACTTCCAAGAGGCCGCCTTGCCGTGGTTTGCGAAACCCTTCATCCTGGGATTCGAGCGCACTGCTGTCATCCTGCGAGCTTTGTACATCGAGACTATCGATATGTGCCGGTTCAGGCGTCGGTGTAAGCGGATCAGGCAGCTCATCGATCACGGCGGCGAGTCGCTTAAGCAGAGCCGGGGCGAAAATTTGGCAAACGTTAAGAGTAAACGGGTAACTGGTCCACTTGTAACTGGGCCACTTGTGTTTACCCCCTTCTTCTCCAAAGGCGAACTCTTTGATCTTATGGCGATAGTACAACGTTTCCTCACCATTCACCTCCGGATAGTGAGCATAGACACGCACACTCCGGTCGTTATGCGAAATGGAAAACCCTAAAGCTCTCCTACGCACCTACGAAGCACGGTTGGCCTTGCGAAAGACGCTCACGATTCCCCGGAGTGCAACGGTCATACTATGAGTATTCGATCGATCTGCCAAGTCAAGTGCTGGCTTCGCCTCGCTAGTCAGGAAGGGAAAGCAGATGTTTTCGCACGCGGTGTAGTACGAAAGCCTCATAGGTTCGATGTGGAGCTTTCGGCGCTGACTCTCGGTGGAGCTGGTCGATTTGAATCCGTATGTATGGTCCGGCCGCGGTTGGGGTCCGTAGATATCATTGAATGAGAGGCTGGACAGCCGATCCGACGAGCTTTGTGCGGGTTGGGCAGCAAGCGGGAATATTCACTGTTGAACTCCTCTTTGCATTGGCTCTTCGCCATTTTCTCCTCAAACAGGCTCCGCGAAAGCTGAGTGCCCCCGCTGTCCCTTTCGATTGCATTTTACTTGTCGCCATTTCCATGTTTTCTCTCCACAACATGTTCCCCCGCAGAGCACGGTGACTGGAAGTTGAAGCGAAAAGTTCGGACAATCTCGAGATTGCATCGTCGTCGGGAATCAAAATGATCCCAGGCCCCCATTGTTTTGACCAGTATCGTTGCGAGCGCAATAGTGGTCCAGCAAGACGAAAACATCAATGCGATAATCCACGGAGAATCATCCAAAGTCTCCAAGGGCCTCGTCGACCGTTCATCAACCCAGTCAAGCAGAGAGAATGGATCTCCTTCGCCCAATCGTCAAAGAACTCGACAACTCCCGGAATTACACTCTGGTGCACCGTCGAAGCCACTCCGGATAGTCTCCTCTGCGTCACCACATGGTGGAGGCGGATCGACGTGGGAGAATACCGTGGCAGACGTCGCTGGAGTGTTGGATCGTTTCTCTCGACGAGGGTCGATATTGTAGCAGTTGAGATCTTCCCGAGGCATCCGAGGTCGTTTTTCGTCGAGGGAGGAACCAATGACGTCCAAGTTAAACCCCAGGCTATAGAATTCCAGGTGAGGCATGGACATACGCCCTTCCGAATCGGTACGCCATGCTTGTCGTAGCAGCATCAAGTCAGAGAGCCTGCTTGAGGTGTGAATTGGTGACCACCCCCTCCGGAGGTATCCGCATGAGTCATGCCGAGGATGAAATGGCAAGACACAGCTGGTACGATCAAAGCGCGAACACTCGTTGGGTAAACTTTGTCAACTGGCTCCGCAAAATGCTCGACTGTTCAGGTATGTGCTTTTGCCCCGGCATAAAAGCGGCGGCAGAGCCCAATGCCCATCGAGCTTGTCTTCGGTCTGAGACAGATTAAGCGTTCGTTCTCGTTGTCGAGCTGCGATGCTAGGTGAGCATAGCTTTGGGGGCAACGACCGTCCATGAGGCAGGAAGCGCTTTTTCTCCAAAGCTTTTCGAATCTCCAGCAGTATTCTTTCAGAAGCTGTTTCTGCTTGTCACGATACCGTCTGAATTCGGACTGGGACTCTGGGGTCACGTTGTGGCGTTGGAGGCAGCCAATGTTCATCAAGGAAAGTAATTCGTCAAAGTCTGTCGTCGTTACTTCCCTGGGCCTAGTCGAAATGTTTATGTGAAACGTCCTGACCAGGCGCTGGCTGGATGAGCCCTGTGCTTCATGACGTGGCCGTTTGTATGTCGAAAGTTCGGTACGACCGGGCGAACTCCTTTTGAAAGCACGATCCCTTGTTGGGACATTCTCGATCGTCCTTGTTTTCCGAATGGCCATGCGAGTCGACTGGGGCAAGGGGTTTAATGGCGAACAAGCTGTAGAAATCTGCTCGAGTCGGAGATACTGTGAAAGGAAAGGTGAAAACAGGCTTGCCGGTCGCAATTATTGTGATGGTCACGTCTTCACTTCTTTTCCTCCTGGAGGCGCAGGTGGTGCAACAGGGTTCCAAGGAACATCGGAACACGACGAGTCCCGGAATCTGTGTTGAATCGATCGTCGCTGATGCTCGCCAGGGCCAGCCATCCCAGACTCCTCAAAAAAAGAAAGAAGAGGAAGCAGAAGGTGGCCCGCGAGCCTTGCCTGGGTTGTTGTCGGGGGAGAGACAGCTTCTTGCCGAAGAATGGGCTGGTTTGAGAGCACCCGATTACCATGGACAACCACCTACAGTATCAATTTCCAGAGGTTCTCTGGCTGTCCACACCATTTCGTGAACAGGTTTCTTCGCTTCACCGGAGCTCATGTTTGTGTGTGTTTGACGTAGATCTGGCAGCGACTTGCTGCGTGTAAGCCTTTGATTCTTTGGTGCCGGATTGGAATGTTGACTCTGACGCCACAATGATATCAAACTTCCGGTCGATGACTTGCCACAGATCCTCCAGGATCTGTTTTGAGCTTTGTATACTGACAAGGTCTGAGTTTGATGAGTGTTGTAATGCGTCGACTGGAATCCCAGCCAACAGCAAGGTCAGCTTCGGAAAGTCCAGAGGCCAAATCCTTCCGCTCTGGCGTGGGGTCCTTAATTTCTAGGACCGGGGAGAGGTGGATTGCATTCGCTCAAACTGCCGAGACATGGCGAGTCATCTGTGGAGGTTGATGCAGAGGAAGTTGGAGGGTGTGAATGGTGCGCTTTAGATATCTTTCAAACCCGATTTGGTCAACGGGACCTTCTCCGTACTATTGGCTTGCCCATGAATTCGAGGACAGAAAGACCTAGTTTGGATTTCCCAGTCCTGACTTCATGGTCGTCCTCGACCTCAGTCGATCTCGAAAGAGACAAAACAACTGACATCGTCATGTCGAATGATGGGAAGGGACGTGTGAGCGAATGGGGAACGTTTGACAGGTCTTGTGCGACGTTGTAAGTTGAAATAGCTGATGTACCCGTCCACGCCGCCATTTTCAAGAGCCATGCCCACGACAGCATTGCGAGCCTTCCCCCAAGCAAACAAGTCACCAGTGCGCAATCGAACGATACCTAGATCAGCGACCGGAGGAGGCACCGTAATGCAAGGTAACCGAAAATCGTCGCGTATCCAAACCAGGGGCCGCAAGACAACGAAGTCAACCGCGAAATTTCCCGGCTGACGAGGACAATGCTTGCCTTTCAAGCATCGGCTCTTCTGACGGCTCTTCTCGACAGCGACCCTCTCAAGACTCGCCATACCATTATCCACCGCAGCTCCTTCTCAAGAGACGCATAGTATGCTCATGCGGCAGGGACACCATTATCCTTGACTCCCTGTGCACTGCCCCGGCACCAGCTGGCGTAAAGCACCTCGGCACCTCGACGGCCCTGGATTCCACATCTTCTTGCCGGGGTCCAACAGGTGTGTACTTCTCATCCAAGCGAGATCTCGGGTAGTAGCAGCTGAAAGCCCGTCGTAGTAGCGGAATGTATGCGGTCTGGACAAGGGTTCTCCCAGCAGCCGTCATGTAATTGTTTGGTGCTAGGGATGGAAGAGCTCGAACCGAGGAGCGAATCGAGGCCAAGATTCACTTTGTGGTTCGGAAGCGCAAACAGCACGAGAGTTTAGGTTGGAAATCGGCACATCGCATGACGAGTCAGGCCCAATGCTGTGTGGACCCAAATTTTCTGACGACGCGGGTAGCGACCATTCGCCAATCAATATGACTTCTACGGTAGTGGTGAACCAGATACTCCCGTCGTGTTAGGTCTCGCTCATGGGCTCGCCCACCGAGTCCTCAGTATCATCAGCCTTGATCGAGTTCCCCACCGGGGAGAGGCGACCGGGTTGGAGAAAGCAGACAAGACGTCGGAGTCGTCTTCGTCTGGCTCCATTAGTTCCATGCATTGATTGGCACTCGTGGGAAAGACAGACAAGCGTGGGTGTTGTTCTCTCCTTGGGAAAGGGTTCAAGGTCGTCCTGTGAGTGGATATGCTGGGTGGGATGGACTGTGATCGCTGAAGAGATAGGTTGGCCAGCGTACTGATCAGTGAGTTGAACGATTAAGATTGCTCGAGAGACGGACTTGGGTCGTTTCGCATCTCGCTGGGCGGATGCTCTCCTGTTCGTTGTTGTGGCAGTTCCATCACTTCTGGGCCAGATCAGTCTCTTCGACACTGGAAAGCCTGAACAACTCACGAATATAACCTGGTCGTTTTGAGAGATCGACTACCGCCTCCCGAACAGATGAATGCATCTCTGTGTTCTTGGGCTTTGTTGCGACCTCTTTCTGTAGCTCTTGGGCTGAGTGCCTTGAAAGCCGTGGTGGCCAAGCAATCTTACCAAGGCCGCTCTGGCTGGCCAGGAAGTATGCTACCCTGGATTCGGATCCAGATTTCAGTAGCATGTTTTCGACACCTCCTAACGAGCTCGTGGCTCTTTCCAGCCCATTGTCGAACTCGTCAGGTACTCTGACCCTTCCCCATTCTGACCCAGATGCTCTGCAAATACCGGAACAATGCTCTCCAAATCTCGAGGATTCTTGTCGCCCATACGAAAGCGGTGCGATAAGGTCAACAGACTGGAACTCCTTCCAACCAACCGCCCAGCTTCAACATAACGTAGCGTCCAAGTTCGGTAGTTCCGTCTTCCCTCACACCGACTTCTTCCATTTCTCGAACGATATAATCGATGCGGGCTCCGGCACCACTCAAATGGAGAATACGCGCAATAGCATGATGAACAGCAAGAAGCCGAGGAGAGGGTGGGTCGATATTGCGATCCGGTGCGAGATAGAGTGCGCGGTTAATAGGTAGTAAAGAATCACGGAAGGGCTGATTAGAGTCAATATAGTCGATCTTATACGAATGTGGGAGCTGGTCAACCGTTGGTTCGAAGGACACTTCAAAGTTTCCAAATTGCTGGTGGAAACTTTGCGTTAGGGTGATAGCATTAGTCGATCTATCAATATCAGGTCCGTCGATTAAGTAGCCGATCCCAGGGTCGAACGTATTCAGTATTTGAAGAGTGATTCTTTTGGATTCGCTCTAATAGCTTCGTTAATAATACTTAAGCGAAGGATTCGTATAACGTACTAAGTGTAGGTTTTGTGGATCGCTTGAGAGCGATGTAAGAGAGTGAGGAAGTATATGTGATACTTCTAAATATTCAGGACTGATATTACTTAGTAGATCCCCATCATCGTCTCGACAGTTAGGACCGTCTTTTGCCCAGCGCGCAAGCGCTTCATTGCGATCAAACTTGCGCGATATTACGCATTTATGGCGGTCGCGAATGAGGCATTGTTGCCGTAGACGTGCAAGCCGTTGTGTGGAGCCAGTAACATGGTTAGAGATTTCCGTCACAGACAGGGATACAGGGGTGGGTTGAGGAGTCTTCCGGCTAGAGGCTTTCACTGAATGACTGTTAGTATTTCGATACTAGACACGCAGGAGATCTCATACGTGGTAGAAAGAACTTATCCACGAGGTAGTCTGAGAAGACAAGTAAACTCCGTTGGAGCTCGTTCGACCGTTCAGCGCTCCAGGAATCTAGATCATCAAAGCGAGAGAGGGTTTCAGCCAAGTTTGGCTCAGACACGTCTTCGGGGCGGAGGTGCGTTTCAAGGAACAAAAAGAAGTCGGCCAGAAACTGGTCTTTGGAAATGACCGATTCATGAACGGTGCGGAGGAGGGTGATATGGTTGTATACATGTACTCTGTCTGCTTGGAGGGGTCCGTATCGCGAGATAAGTTGATTGAAGATTTCAGTTGCTCGGCTACATTGATGAGGCTTTAGACCAGCGGACGAAGAGAAGGACCATTGGTGCCTTTGGAGGGGTGTCGCCATCATGATTCTGAGAAGAGAGACAACGGACACCGCAACGCGATGAAGAGAGCGCGTTTAAAAAATCATGTGATTACTGCCGAGGTTTAACGCGCCTGGGCTCACAGAGGTGATTGGTGGATCCGGAACAACCCGGTCAATAATTACTCCGCAGGATAGGCCACATAGCGGAATATGACAATCGCGGCGATACCCTCGCGTGCAGGAGAAATAAACAATCAGAGTCAAGGCTGAGGCCTGACCCCCTCACTCGAAACTTGCTGGTTTCTAGCCAGGTAATCCTTCAATCTTTTCTGCTTTTCGGAATGCCCCTCATCTTCTCTTCCCTGTTTCAAGGCCCTCAAAGCTGGGGGAATCGGGGTTCCATCCTTGTTCAAGCCCACGCTCTCGAAAAGGACCTGCAACTCCTCCACCAACCCTGTCGCGACCTCCTGTGACTCCTTGGTGCCCTGACGCAATTCTGTCTGTGCGCGCTCATACATACTCTTCAATCGCTCGAACTTCGACTTGTCTCTCATTATTGCGATCAGCTGATCTCGGTTTTGCTGCATCATGGCCAACTCAGTCGCGGCTCGGCCGTCAGCAAAAGGGTCATCCTGTTGCAAAGCGTCTGCATCCGGATCCAATTTGGCATGGTGCACCACGTCTTTCTCCACCCTCCCGCTAGTTTTGGCAGGATAATCATGCTCGTCCCACCTCACAGCCACCGGGGAAGACCACGGTGTGAGAACTGCAGTCACCAATCCAAACACCATGTTCTGACTGAGAGGTCCAAAGTAATTTGAGTCCATGGACTTTTCCCGGCTGTTCGCGTCCCCTTCCACCCATACGTGATTGTACGGCACTATCACAGGGTCGTCACCACCAGGATACCCGGGAAGGGGTTTGATTCTGTCCCCGGGAATGCCGATAACCCGCTTTACTGCTAATTTTGAAGGATCGTGAGGCGCGTAGAAGACCACAATCTGACCCCTCTCAAGTTTGAATCGCTGGAATCGGCTCCCCATCAGATTTGATAACACTTCGACGGCCTTGACCTTCTTCACGAGGATAATGTCTGGCGCAGCTGGTGGGAGATCGGGAGAAGAGCTGACGTTGAAAAAGGGGAACATGGAAGCGCCCTGCACCCGCAAGATTGTAAATGGAAACGACATGAAGAAGACTATGAGTGGGGGGCCGATGATGAAAACCCGCCACATCCAGCTTCGAACAGAGGACGGGATGGACTTGTAGTGCATGTGTGGCTTCCATGCTTCATTCGATCCCAACTCCGGGCCCGTTGTGTTCCCGCTCTTCTGAACATTTGGGGCGAGCACCGTCTTGAGCGCGCTTCTTTTAGGAAGAGTGATCGTGTGTCCGAGTCGGAATGCAGGAAGAGATCGGCAGATGTTTGAGGGAGGACCACAGATGACGACCGCGTGACGGATGCCGCTCCAGAAAAGTCCTCGGGACGCAGGAGGCATTTGCAGCAGAGAGATAGAGGAAACCACACCTCAGGCGCGAAGCCACCTCCACCAGATCTATGGAGAGCTTGCACTCTTCAAGCCATCCTTGATCTTAATGCGCAGTCAGGCCAGTGACCAGGGGAACATGTGCAGAATTGAGGATCGAATCACGCAACTGGCGCAGCCTGACCTGCAATGCGGAGAATCCCAAGGCAGGTTTGCCGACCTGGACTTCTCCAATGCGCGCGACGCGGGCGCAGCGCGCAAAGCGTGGGAGTTGCGCACCGGTACCTCAGTAGGCAAGCGGCAAGGACAGAAGAAACAGGGAGCAGCGCAGACAATAGCAATGGCGAACTCAGATATGTTCCTTCCTCGTCAGGGTCAATGGCTTCCGGCTCCTCGCAGCTCTTCTTGCGCTGAAACCTCAACCTTCTCTCACCCAACCTGCATGCTTCCAACAACTTCTCTCAAAGCCTTTACCACTCTACCAGCTCATTTATTCAAGTATCGTGTATCTCACAGTCCGTCCCCAAGTCCTCTTGCGCTACCGGTCAGCTCAGTCCTGAGTCATGGATGGCCGCCTTCCAAACCAACCAAATGATCTAAGCTGGGAGGTGAGGCTCATTCTCCAAGACCTCAACACAAGTCTGGCCAACGGTCCGCCCGACTCCTCCGTCTGGAAGGAGTACCCTTTATCACAGCGTCTCTGGATCATTATCAACGAGCACCTCACTGCCCTGGCCGGACCACTTCAGTATGTTTGAGGTGAAAGCTGGATCTTCAACTCGACTCCTGCTGACACCGAGATCTAGGTATGGCTACTTCTCTCGCACCGAGACATTTGTTCACCAAGTCCCTTCTCCTTCCCACGAGTCGTTGAGTCAATCTTTTGCTCAGCTGGTTACGAGAAAGCTGTACAGGCTGTGCAGAGAGCAGGGAGTCCGAACGTTTGCCGGAAGAGTTGTACATGCTGGTCCACCCGATTCGAAAGCAGGATCCAACTCCTGCCGCGATCTCCATCAACCAGACATCTTCTTCTCCCACGTCGTCCTGCCAAAATATGGCGTCGCTGTTGAGATTACCTACGCGGAGAAGCGGGACAGACTGCAGGAACTTGCTGAGTTCTACATGCTCAAGAGCAACCGGAACACCCGACTGTTCATCAACATCGACTACGACCGCGGTCGCACCTGGAAAGTCACTCTCCGGACTTGGAGACGAGACTACACTGACCCTATCGGCTTACGATTGAGAAGTCGAGTCCAAGTAAGTACATCGTCACCAACTCGTCAACAGCCGCTGACTTTTGCCCCCAGGAGCTCCGAGGTGAAGATGGCACCCTGGTTCCCGGCCCCCCGCTCCGAGTCTGCATGCTTGACTTCGCACGTCAAGAACTCGTTCCACCATTCCTACACGGTCGTGATATTGAACTGTCGGTGGAAGAGCTTGGGTCAGTGATCGAGGAGGCGGACGCATCAGATTCAGAAGAAACAGATTCGGAGCAATCTGACAATGACACCAGTATGTCAGATGATCCAGCTGACACGGGGACGGAGGAAGTGGTCGAGTCAGAATGGCCATTCGAAAGACCAGGACTGCTCCCGTTCCCATAGTTCGGACGAGAAAGGTAAAGGAATGAACTGCAACAAGACCTGGGGACCTGTACAATGAATCACTTCTACAACGACACACATGATAGGCAGCAGCGTTGGTGGGCGAAGCACATGGAGTATCGAGCAACAACAAGGTACCTAGGTAGTCTCCATTCATGTACTCTGATGACACAGAGTCTCATGGTGCTGGAGGTCCATAACTATCCTTTGTATTCTATTATTAGACAACAATTCTTTCGAACAATGTGTCTAATCACTGTGAAGCTCTCTTTCGGAGGGTGCATCCCAGATGTGAGATTATTGTGCACAGTCAGTCAGGCACAGGTGCTGGATCCCTCCACCCGATCAGTGCCAGTGCCCGTAGCAGAGAGCCTTAGCTCTCTGCAGTCATGATATACGGTTACTCATCCCTATGGATCCCTGTGCAGCATTCATTGAACATTGATGGGGTTCGCACCATATGTCAATGGTGGTCATGATGGCATTGACACACGTGACAAGTTTGATGTTGTCATGGAAAAAGTAATGTATTTGTCTGACAGCGAATTTTTGGTGTGTTGACCAATCAGATGCCTGATTTGAGGACCCCGCGACATAGGGTGTTTTTGAATGACAGCCGAATTATTTGTCATCAGCTTGGAGAAAGTGGGGACAAATTTTCCAACACCACAAACAAACATCTCAGGGAAACACAAAGGAATGGGGATGGGGCTGGGCCACACAGGAGGTGCCAGCATTTGTCTGCACTTTGTCTGCACTTTGTCTGCTCGCGCATTGCGCAAGTGCACAGAGTGAGGCACTGTGATTCAGGGACAACATTAGGAATGTGAACGCCATGCGTGCAGCAGAAAGGGAGATGGATTCCCCAATGAAGCATCCTGGTGCAACACCCCGGGCCATGCACTCATTCATTCATTCTCAAGAGCGGCAGTTGACGACTCGACCATCGGTTTTGTGGTGTCTCTGGGTCCTCTCGCCAAGTACCGAGGTACCAGGTACCTACCTAGGTAGGTAGGTAGGTAGTCAGCCCCAATTAGTCACCCTCTGCTCGAGTCAATACCAAGTCAATGGATTTCTAGAAAGACCGCAGGTGCTTCCGCATGAGAGTCACATGCCTTGGCGTACGCAAAGTAGGGGGAAAAGTGGCAGCCATTACGCCAGGTTCTGTTCGTGTCCTTGAGGCCAATTGCCCTCATGCCGGTGTCATGATTGTGCCTCGGCGCTTCCAGAAGAGCTCGCCAAAAAAATACCTACCTACCTTAGGTATCTACCAAACCAGAACCATGGTGGGTATCTCAGAATGCCAGATGTTATTTGCCACATCCTTGGCTCCAACCCCCAGCTCTGATCCCTTTTGCATCGCCCAAACCAAAACCCTCGAGCCTCCGAGGAGACCTCACTTCATCGCAAAATCAAACTCCTCAAAGTCAGCACGAAGACCCGCGGCGTCCTCTTCCTCTGCGGCCTGATCGCTCCCGTCCTTGGACAGGATTGAATCCATCCAATTCACTCGGTATTCCAGTTGCAGCAGACCTGCCATGACTTCTCGCCCAAACCAGATGTTGAACTTTTGATCCACGGGCAGTGGAAAGAACATGGATTTTGCCACGCCCACATCCTCGTCATCGTTCGCATTCCCATTGGCATGGTCGGCCAACTGGACGGCGTCCGCCACCCATGTCCACACACGGAAGTAATCCGATCGTTGTGGAAGCTGGGTGTCGGCAGCACAAGTTTGAAAGTCTGGATACCCGTACTGAGATGCTTTCACCTTGAACGCGGCCTCAACCATCCCCGTCTTGATGCGATCCACCGGACAGGCGACGATCTGCCAGTGGAAGTGCCGGATGCCGGTGCGATTGACTTCCCAGCAGACCGCGCCGAGCTGACCGTGGCTTTTCGCTCCGATCATGGCACTCAAAGCCTTTCGGAACCTATTCATTTCCCTGAACTCGGAAGCAATTTCGTCGGGTGATCGTTTTCCATGGGCCAACTCGTCCGCTGCATGGTAGTATGGGATGATCATGACGTGGCCGGTGAAGGACAGCTGCGGAAATGTCGATGGCAGCGGTAAAGGACCCCTCGTGGTCGTGGCCATACTCTCGTCCCCCAGAGACACGACAAGGTGAGTCTTAGCACCAGGCTTGTTGAGACACATGAAACAGTCATCTGGGTCATAACGTGGACCTCTCCGAGCACGCTTGCGGTTGCGTGCCCCATTGCCTTCATCGGCGTCGCCCCGGTATGGTGCTCTGTCGTCGACCGCTTGTCGCTTCCTTGGCGGTGAAGATCTGATGAACGGAGACTCAAGAGGCGTTTCCACCGTAGCTGGAGGACGGGAGGTGTCTAATGTGAACGCCGACATCCACTCTTTCGTGGACGCGGACACGCTCGGCAGACTTTTAAACCTCGTGACGCTCGGTTGATCGTACGAAGTGTACTCGACGACGTGCTTGAAGGGCTCTCGCTCCCATAAAGCGCTTGGACTGCTGGAGAAATGATACCATGGCTTGAGTGCTTGGCACAGATTGGCGACCGACTGAGAGCCCGCCGTCCCGTCAACACCTTCGGGCAATTCGACCTTGGACCCGTTGGTGATGTTGGCCGGCCACTGATTTGTGACGAGAATGTGTGCGGAATGAGCGCCGTGGAGTCCTCTTGACTCGCTGTCGAGATACAATGGATCATAAGCACTGGGCTTCTGAGTGAGCGACGCTTCGTTTTGCGCCAGTCGACCTCCGAGTGACACGATTCTCACCCCTTCTGTAGTGGTCATGGTCCCCTTGCGACCCAGATAGAAAAGGTTCGAACAAAGATCGCCGTGTTCGAGCTTTGCTTTGACAGTTTCCGGGAAAGACGAGTCGCCGATCATGAAATACGTTGGGAGAGGTATGTCGATCTGGCCATTGAGCAAGGCCTCCAATTCAATTGAAGCACTTTCATCGTCCGGTGAACCTAGAAGATCGCCAACGACAATAGCCATCGTGAAGTTGTGTTTGGTCTGCAGCTTTGATATTTTGTCGAAAGCCTTTTTCAGTTGACCCTGGATGCTACCAACGACAAGACTGTGCGGGTCAGCGACAACATTAATGCAACTCAACTCCTCGTCACCGTCGACTCACATTTTTGAAGTCCCCATGTTGCCTCTGGAGAAGTGTGAGGTGAGAGATTCGAAAGACGTGGGAGAAGGATCTGGTGATGCTCGGTTGTGTATACGTGCTTCGGCACTTGGACGAGGTTGAGCGAGCTACCAGTCACTCATGCTGTCATGAGTGTGTAAGGCAAACAGTAGACGAGTAGCATAATGGGGTTTTGTAGCAAAGTAGAAACCGAAGTGAAGGCGATCGGCGTATGATGCTGCAGTGACAGAAGATCTATACCAAGGACAGAGGCTGAGAGGATTCAAGTTTTATGCGCTTCATGGTCCAAACACTGCTCCGGAGAATACGGTGGTGCATTCCCGCACACACGATGATTGCGGGGAGATTTTTTCGAGTCTCAGCTTTGCACCCAACACCGCAGGCAAAACGTGGTCTCTACAACTACAGCCTGTTGCACGGCCTTTGCTTTGATTCAGCCTTCGGGCATTACCTCTGCGTTGATTTTCATCCTCACACAATGTCTGCAATATCTCCCGGGCTTCGCCTCCGCAATTCGCGCAGAGCAAAGAAACCCACCACATCAAGCAGGAGACACCGCTTCGAACCCTTCTCGAAACGGTTGGCACAAGTGAGGATTGACCCGGTGCATGCCGTAGGAAGAGTCAGGCCTTCGAACAGCGACCCAGATGTCTTGCAAAGCTTTTTCCGCACCGCGTTGGAAGGCTGGGCGGAATTGAACTTGTCGAGCACATTCACCAGCTTCCTCAGCCTTGCGAGTCCACTATGCGAAAATCTCCCGCAGCTCCTTCATCATGCCGACACCGTCTTCGCGATTCTCGTTGAACACATCGAAAAAAGAGACGACCTCGCTCTCGAACCTCTCCTCGGCCTCCTTGCCCAACTTGCCCACGACCTCGATCATGGGTTCGAACCATACTTCCAAAGAACTGTACACCTGGTGGCGCAGATTGCTGCCACCAGTGACAAGACGGAAGTTGTTGAGTGGTGTTTCAACTGCCTCGCGTACATGTTCAAATACCTGTCCAAACTTCTCGTACACGATCTACGGCCCCTACTCGATGTCATGATACCCTACCTATCCTCCAAGAAGGACTACGTGGTTCGATTCAGCGCAGAGTCGCTCACCTTTCTGCTGAAAAAAGCCGCCTCGCAGTTTGCCGCAGACAAGACACCCTTGTGTCTTGCCGTCAATCATCTTTTGAAGGAGTTTCCAGAGCAAGATGGTGTCACAACCCTCAGTCCATATCAGCTCGGCCTCATGAGCCTTTGCGTGGAGGGCGCTCGCGGGGTCGACTTTCAATTGCATTCGTGTGCTGTATCCTTGATACAGTGTCTACTAGACTGCGCTCTCCCCATAAGCCAACAGGCGCACGTTCAGTCAACTGTGGATGGCGTTCTGATCGCCCTCATCCATGAGACAACCACGGACGCCTTTAAGCCGATCCAGGCGATCATCTTGGATTTTGTTCGGGAGTGTGCGGCTTCCGAAGAGGCCAGCCAGTTGTCTTTCGCACTCAGGCTCTTGCTTGTTATCATAGGCACAGGGAAGGGAGAGGCGATCAGTGCATGGACATTCGTCATTGAGGCCTTCCAAGTGGTAGCGGCCATCGCACAGGGGCTTAACGAGGACCGAATACACTTCAACCCGATTCTCGCAATCATCATCGCCACAATCATTCAGTATGCACCCCTAGACCAATTGTTGCAGCAGAAGTCAGCCTTACCCCGGGAGTTGTTGGACTGGGCTGCGGAGCACTTTTCACCACGCGAGTTCTATGCCTTCTCCACAGCTTGCGCAGAGCTTGGGGGGGAGAGGTTCATCGCCCATGTCCTGCCAGGGCTCCAGAAATACATCTCGAACCACTGGTCTGATGATGAGGTGAGTCTTTATTACATGCTGGAGAGATTGCAGCAGAATAAGATCGGTTTTGGTGGGTCTGCAACCGTCAGGTCAATAGATTGTCCTGCGGATTTTGGACAATTCATCCTGAATCAGTTGTCAATGAAGGAACAAGATGGGGATGCTTCAATCATCGAAGAACTTGCTGGACGGCTTCGATTCTCCAGGGCTGCTTGCCTTTTTGGCGACGCCGAAAATACTGCTCGGTCTCTTGACGCATTTCACAGTCTACTCACCCACGTCTTGGAAGATGTCAGGAACGACCTTGACCTGCGTCAACGCACAATTCTGGGCTGGGGTTTTGACACATACGTCGAAATTGCACCCCCTGATGACCAGCGGCTCAAGGACCTTGTTTCTCTTGTTCCGAAGATGCCCTCGGTAGTCTTTCACCTGCCAGCTTTCGTACACGCAGTCAGCCGTCTTTTTGAGAAAGTCCCTGCAGTCGAGGGTGTGGAGTCTCGACTCTTCGACAGTGTCCGCAACACTCTTATCCGAAATCTATTATCGACATCATTCAACTTGAAGAAAGGATCTGCACAGCTGCTTCTTGCGCTTGGCGGTTTGGAAATCCGGAGCTGGCTTAGAGAAACTATTAGACTGATGCTCGAGATTCTTAACACTCCATACAGTCCTGCCGAAGCCCGAAAAATTTCGCTGCTACTCAGGCGGATTCTCCAACAACAAAAATATATACCAGAGAACTCGTCGTTTCTGGATCTTATCCCTTGCTTCTGCTTCGGCTTGATGCCACATTACCATGACATGACAAGAGCAGAAGTTTGCAATTTTCTCTCTCAAATGATACAGACGACACCGTCGGAAGAAACCGTGGTCAACATCGCCATGGAGTGGCTTCAGTCACCGGCCGATCTGATTCAGTCGCCTCAAAAAGATCCCCTTGGTGCATGGTCGACACTTTCTTCTTTTGAATGCTCAAACCTTGCGCACCTCGATTCTTTGTGCAAATCAGTCTCAGATGACTTCCAATGTTCCGGTGAGAGATTCCGCAGCATAATTGAGGACGAACATCGACTAGAAAACCCTGGAAGACCACCTCCGGATAGTCGATCGCTAGCTCTAATGGTACTATCCTGGATGCCCGCTGCAACTGAAAATCGGTCTCGTTCATTGGTTCCTATCTTCCTCGCTGCACCCTTCAGCCGTGCTCAACTACAACCCAAAGCCAGCTCGGATGCTTCTGCATCGTCGCACACATTGAGCCCCGACCTTGATGACCACGAATGGTCTCTAACAGACAGGAAGGCGATCTTGGCCCTGTTCGGCCGGTTCATCAACCCTACTATGCTCTTCAGATCATCCGAAGTACATGCAAAACTTATCGATCTTTTGAGCAACGGCAACGATGATATTCGAAAGCTGGCACTCCAAGCCATCCTGACCTGGAAAGACCCTGTACTTTCCCGTTACGAGGCCATGCTGCTCCCATTAGCCGAAGGAAAGTCTGAGACATCTGTCATAGGCAGATGTCTGGCTGCTGATGAGGAGAGTTCTGTTAGACCAGAAGATCGAAGCACCGTCCTTCCTGTTGTCCTCCGGCTTGTCTTTGGTATCATCGTGGGCCGAGCAGGAACGTTCGGATCTCAAGACACAAGAAGGAAATCATTGTTGCGTGTCATGCTCCGACTACCCGAGAACGAAGTCTCATTGTTCCTTGACATTGCTCTGGGCAAATTGAGAGATGTCAGGGTCCAAGAAGCCGCTCTAAACCTCGCAAACCTCGACCAATCATACATCCCGGAAGACCAGCAATATGGGTTTCTTCGATTGTTGTTGTCAATGCTGGAGACATTCCAAAGCAAGTTCGCTCCGTTTGGCCGACAGGTTGTCGACGCAGTCGTGTTTTGCGTCGTCAAAGCTTCTCATCAAGGTCACACAACGGTCAACCAGACCAGTACGGGAGCATTGTCACGCAGTATCCGACGGACAGGCTTCCAATGTCTCGTCCTTCTCTTCGATCACTGTCATGACGTCGACTGGCCTGTTCATCTTCGCAGTCTCTTTACTGATGCAATAAGTCCACGTCTCGACATATTCGACTCCGAGACGGGCCAAGGTATTTCTGGTCTGCTACGCCTATTTGCGTCTTGGGCTCATTCTCCTGATTACATTGGCTACCTTGGAGATTATGATCGCCGAGTTCCAGAAGTCATGTGGCAGGCCCTGGCTACAGATTCAACGCCGGACCCAGTAAAGCTGTTCATACTCGAAGAAATTGTGCTTCCGTGGGCTAGCATAGCTGAAGCTGAACGGCCTGTGCCCCATTGCGCACGTGACCTCCTCAAAACTGAGTCAGAGGCTCTATTGGCGTCTCTGACGGGTCTACTCGAGCGGACACCCCCAAGGCCCATCCTTGCTGCAGTAACGGTCGTCCTGCCCAGGGTTGCCTCATTGGCGGAATCCCCCGGATCTCGACAGTCCATTATCAAGTTATTGACAACCCTGCTCTGTGATGAGGGGCTTAAGATACCCCCAGTTGTCAAAGGTCAACTCCTCCTCTCTGTCCACAGCTTTCTGGCCGTCGATGCCACTTTGGAACAAAGTGCACACCTACAACTTCTGTCACTGGTTGCGTCCTTGTTCAACTTCTTCCGAGACCAGACGAATCGTCAGCTACTATGCGAGGTCTTGGAAAGGTTGTCTACATCGGACGAAGGTCTAGCTCAATGCGCTCGACTATGCAAAGATTTGAATGCCATGTCCTCGCAACGACTCGACGAGATTGATTACGACAGGCGACTGCAGGCTTTTCAGTCAATCCAGGCCCTGGATTTCCGCAACATCAGCTCAGCGTACGAACCCATCATATACAACTTGCTGTACTTTTTGAGAGCCAGTGATGATTTCACGATCCGATCAAATGCCTTGGCATGCCTGAAACAGATGATCAACAAGTCCCATGAAAGCGAGAGCTCCGACCTCAACGACTTGATCGTCAATTCTGCTTTCCCTGTGACGAAGAAGTGCATAAGACTTGAGTCGGAAGTTGTGAGGGCGGACTTCGTCACTCTCCTGGGACTTCTGGTGCAACATGCTCGCAATAACGGAGATCTGACGAACATGACGCCTCTGTTGGTTGGGAATGATGAGGAAGCGTCGTTCTTCTCGAACATCTTGCATATCCAACAACACCGTCGCCTGCGAGCCATTCGACGGCTTGTCTCCGAGGTCGAGAAAGGGCTGATCAGCGCAGCCAACATCCTGGAGATTTTCATCCCTCTGCTAAGAATGTTTGCCCTTGACTCAAGCACGGACGAGTCGGCGCAGAGCACTAAGGGTCAAAGCATCACTGCGATAGGCAGTCTCCTCCAATGGATTGACTGGAAAAACTTCAGGATACTGTTCCGCCGGTATATGTATGACCTCAACGTCACTGGGGTCGAGCACAAGGCTAACAACCGGCTTCTTGGATACGCTGCTGATGCATTGTTGGCAGCGAACAGCCACCGACCTGAAAGCTCTCAAGCAGAACAAGGTCGATCGATACCTCAGCTCGCAGTGTCGCTTCCAGACAAGACGATTGTGGAGCAGGAACTGAAGGGTCAATTCCTACCGAAACTCGCAGAGCTTGTCCACTACAAAGATGAGACAGAGATCAGTCTGCGTCTACCCATCGTGGTCGTCGCGATCAAGCTCATCACTCTTCTGCCACTGCACGAGATCCCACTTTTTGCTGCCCCATTAACTCTTGATATCGCGCACATCCTCAGGAGCAGAGCTCAAGAATCCCGCGATGCCGCGCGCAAAGCCCTGTGCGAACTCGTTCTTCTGCTTGGTCCCGGCAGTCTGCAGTTCGTGCTCCGAGAAATGCGCACAGCTCTCACCAGAGGATATCAACTGCATGTCGTGTCCTTCACCCTCCATGCAATTCTGGTGGCGCTGGCTCCTCAAATCGAGCATGGTGATCTTGATTATTGCTGCGAAGAACTTGTCGCTGTTGTAATGGATGACATTTTCGGCGCCGTGGGCCAAGAAAAGGACAACCAAGACTACATCAGCAGTATGAGGGAGGTCAAAAGTAGTAAGAGTTTTGACTCAATGGAGCTCCTAGCACGGTCAATCAGCGTAGCAGCTGCATCAAAGCTTGTGGCGCCCCTTCAGACCATTCTGTCTGGCAACCTGGCGGCAAAGCAAGTCCAGCAAGTTGACGAGCTTCTCCGGAGGATTGGCAGCGGCTTGTCCCAGAACTCATCGGTCGGCCAGCGAGACGTCTTGACATTCGCATACCAATTGATCCAGTCGCTCTATCAGCAGCAAGAGACCGGACCAAGCCAAATGCTTACCAACGACGAAAAGAATCGGCAGAGATATCTTATCCGCTTGTCATCGGCGAGTAAAGAGATTCAGAGTCAAAACTCGGCCTTGTTATATAAATTAGTCAAGTTCGCTTTGGATTTGGTGAGGTCTACTTTCCAGAGACACGCGGAAATTCTGACGGCCGAGAACGTGCATGGCTTCCTTCCCGTCATTGGCGACGCCTTGATTGAAGGTCAAGAGGATGTCAAGATTGCCGCTTTACGCTTGCTGTCCGCCATTGTCAAACTGCCGATGCCTGAACTTGAGCAAAACTCAGCCTTGTACGCTAGCGAAGCAGTCAAGGTCGTGAGAAACTCGACAAGCACCAACGAGGAGGGGGCGCAGGCTGCGTTGAAGCTCATAGCTGCGATACTTCGTGAATGCAAGAGTGTCGAGGTGAAAGAATCCGACATTGCTGAACTTCTTCACCGTGTTGGTCCAGACATCGAAGAACCAGACAGGCAAGGGGTGACGTTCAACTTCATCCGGGCAGTTATGGGGAGGAAAATCCAGTTGCCGGAGCTTTACGATCTCGCAGACAAGATCGGAGTCATGATGGTAACGAATCAAACAAAAGGGGCACGAGATGTTGCAAGAAGTCTGTTCGTCCATTTCCTACTTGACTATCCTCAAAGCTCTTCAAGATGGTCGAAACAACAGCAATTCCTGATGACAAATCTCGAATACAAGCATCCCGAGGGAAGGCAATCTGTCATGGAAGCCATCAATACCTTGATTGAGAAGATGCAAGGAGAAGCAGCACAGGAACTTATCTACGAGTTCTTCATTCCCATACTACTTCAGATGGCCAATGATGATAATGAAGGTTGTCGACAGCTTGCTGGAGTCCTCCTGAGCCGGCTGTTTACCCTGGCAGAACGGGGCCGCCTGAACGACATATTCGAACTTCTGAACAGTTGGATCCATCAAGGGGGAAACAGCAAGGTGAAGAAACTCGGTATCCAGGCATACAGCGTCCTTCTAGATGCGGACGTCTCTTTGACTCAAGCCGAGGTCGGCAAGATTCGGAGCATTGCTGCCAAATCTCTTGAGACGACAAGCGTGAACGACGAGGACGAATGGGAAGTTCGGTTCCAGGCATTACTGCTATTGCAGAAGCTGGTGGGTTCGCAGGCAGCCGCAGTATTGAACGAGGAGCAGCGTGGTCTGTGGTCGCACGTGTGGCCATCGCTAGACCATCCCAATCCATGGATCCAAAGCACATCGGCAAGCTTGATCATCCAATTCTTCAGTCACTGTGGCTCGATGGACCGTGGAAAGCTTCCGCTGGCATGTGGTCATGGTCTTTTCTTGGATGCAGAGGAGATGCTTGACGTTTTGAAAACCTCCTCTCGCATCTTGCGGCGTACGACGGGGAATGAGGACCTCAGCACACAAATGGTGCAGGTCCTTCTGTTTCTGGGTCAATGCTTGAACGAAAACCAGCTCTCAGTTGAAGTCAAGCAGCAGTCCAGCGCCGCCGTTACCAAACACGCCGCATCCGAAGCGTCCAGTTCTGAAGAGACTGATTCTGAGGAGACGGATTCTGAAGACGATGTCAGTGCCGAAGAGAGCAGCACAAGCATTCCAGCCACCCAATACCTCCTCGACCAACTCGCGCGCAACCTCCGACTCGAACCGACAACACAGACATCTGCGGCATTACTCCCAAAGAAGTCATCGTTGCAACTCCTCTCGAATCTCATCCCCGGTCTTTCAGAGGCGCACCTACCCAGCGCGCAAGTCAATGCCATCCTACTGCCACTCCAGCATATGACTGACACCAACACGATCCCCCCTCGGTCGGCGGACCCGACCTTTGGTGCCACGTACCAGACTCTCATCGAGCTCGCTCATGAAGTCATGGAGAAGCTGCAGAAGAAGCTCGGAGACACAATGTACGTCCAGGCGGTCACCGAAGTCAGCAAAATGATGCGCGAAAGAAGGGAAGAGCGTAGAACGAAACGGCGCATTGAGCAGGTTGCCGACCCGGAAAAGGCAGCGCGAGATAAGAAGAGGAAGAGCGACAGGAAGAGGGACAGGACGAAGGAGCTGGCAAGAGCACACCAGAAGAGGAAGAGGGAAGAAGGAATGTAACGAGACCAAATTGCCACAGGTCGACTGTTTTGCTATGATGATTGTGCTATGGTTGTTTTTTTTTAATTTTCCGGCGTTTGGACTGTCTCAGAGTTGAAATGGAATGGTAATGGAAAATAACGAGCTATGAGCAAAGATCGGGTTGTCTGTCGTCCGTCGGCTGTCGTCTGGCGACAGCTTGATAGCGTCGGGATCCCCAGGGAAAAGGGCACAGGTATTTCGGGTTTGAGAAGAGGAACAGATAATTTTCGGGCTTTATGACCACCTTATGACCACATTTTTTCCACACCTGGCCCTTTTCACTTTTCCAATATTAATACCTTCCCCCCTCCCTCTTCTTTTTTCAAGGGTTCACACTCGCCGAGCGGGGTATATCCGTGCCCACGGCGGCGGTGACGCCGGCGTCGATGGGCAATATCAAGCCCGTGACCCATCTCGCCTGGGGACTGGCGAGGAAGCGGACGGCACAGCCGACGTCCCAGCCATTGCCCTCGGTCTTGAGCAGGGAGCGGTTCTTGCGGGCGTCGCGGGCCTCGGGGCTCATGCCGCCCGCGTACATCATGGGCGTGTAGACCATGCCGGGGCAGACGCAGTTGACGCGGATGCCCTGCGGGGCGTGGTGGGCGGCCATGGCGCGGGTCATGTTGACGACGGCGCCCTTGGAGGTCGGGTAGAGGAGGTGCGGGGTGCCGCCGCGCAGGCCGGCCACGCTGCCCATGTTGACGATGCTGCCGCGGTAGCCCCAGGGCCGGTCGTCGTTGGCCAGCATGGCCGGGATGGCGTACTTGGCCATCATGACCATGCTGGCCACGTTGACCGTCATCGACGCCGCCCACGCCGCCATGTCCACCTCCACCGCCGTGCCGGGCGCCCCGCCCACGCCCACGCAGTTGAACAGGATGTCCAGCCGCCCGTACGCGTCGAGCGTCCGCTGCACCACGGCCTTGCACGCCGCCTCGTCCGTCACGTCCGCCTGCACCGCCATCGCCGCGCCGCCGTCCTCCTCCTCCTTGTGGCCCGAGGCCTCGGCCTCGGCCTCGATCATCTCCACCGTCCGCTGCGCCAGCGCCACCTCGCGGTCCACGCACACCACCTTGCACCCGTCCTCGGCCAGTAGGATCGCCGCCGCCCGTCCGTTGCCGATCCCGTCGCCGTGCGCCCCCGCGCCCGTCACGATCGCCACTTTGCCCGCCAGCGACCGTGCTGGCTTGGGGAACGTGTAGTCCATTGTCCTTCCCCTGCGACGAGGTCTTTATTTGTTTCGTTTCGTGTTCGCAAATCTGGTCAAAAAAAAAACCTACCCGAGCCGTGAATGTAAGTGGGGGGATTCCTTTCAAGAAATCAGAGTCAGAATCAGGATTGCTGCAGAGAGGAAAGGGACTTACTTTCTCTTGCTCTCCTCTGTCACGCAAGCTATATCCAAACACACACTCAAGCAGCTCGGACACACACACACACACACTTATATATGTATGTATTGAATGTAACAGGGCGGCGACGGCCCGAACATTGGGTGGGTATATATATAGTACGTGTTACTTCTGTGCGCTATCGGATGTGTTCCCATTGTTGCGAGCCTGTTTCTCCAACAGAGGCACCCCAGGGCCTCGGCTCGGATACCTGCGCTTGCTCGCTCATGATCTTGTAACGCAACACAAAATTCCAAAAAGCGAATGATATATATAATTTCACGTGTCTCCCCTACGGTCAAGTCACTTAGGTACATACATAAAATATCTCGAGTTCCTGTATCACAAAAAATTGGTTCGTTTCCACATGTTTATCCTAACATTTCAGCCATTACAGGAAGAATGAGCGACACCACACAACACACAACCAAACCCCCCCTGGCACGGATGGTAGTTCCTCCTCTTTCACTTATCGATCGATGATGACGACCATGAGGTCCTGACGTACATATATATTGTGTGCGGATCCGATAAGACACCAGGTCCCTGATTGTGCCCCATTTGGTTTTGTTGCTTGACGGCCATCTCCCCCCCGACAGATACGCCAGACCTACATATTCTCCTCGTGTTCGGGTGTGTCAAAGGTGGGTATGGATAATTGGTATGGAAGTGAGGAGGTCACAGGCCCAAGGGGTTATCTGCATTCTGCTCCTTGCCTCCAAACGGCTCCTTCATTCTCTGTCCCTCGGCCTCCTCTTGTTTGGCCGGGCCACCTTCGTGGTTCCCGTAGCCCACGCCGAGCTGATCTCCCCAGCCCTTGCCTGCTCTCATGAGGCCACCGACAGTGGGATCGACGATGCCCTTGACCGGGCCGCCGATGGTCTCGAATCCTTTGCCCATGACGTTGCCGACGGGGGACAGGGTGTTTTCGATCTTTTCGCCCGCCTTGTTACCCAAGTTTTCGGGCTTGGATGCCCATGAGCCGCCGCCGCTGCCGCCGCCTGCTGCTGGATTCGGTTGGTCAGCGTCGCGTCACGTCTTGTCTCGAAAGGAGGAGAAGGCCCCGATTGAACCAAGAGAGCCAGATTGCGAAAACTTGGGGGAATTTCTTACCAGACTGGGTTTCTTCGGCTCCTTGGCCTTGTTCTGTGCCCTCGGGAGGATTGTTTTCAGAGTTGTCGTTCATGGTGATCCTGCTTTCGTTGTTGTCGTCCGTCATTTATCGCCGGTTTTTGCAAGCTGGAGATTTGTAGAGCAATAGAGAAAGTAGGCGTGGTGGAGGAGATGTGAAGGAGGGACAGCAGCCAGGCGACTGAGTAACCGTCGACATCATAGTCTGTGGCACGAGGCAGGGATCTGCAAGTGGTTTGCCCCAGGTGGTGACGATGGGTGGATGAAGCCACGGGGGGACAATGCAACCAAACCTTGGATTTGCTGGCTGTGGCGCAGAGCGGCATGTGGATGACGTCGCGGCGAGGCATTGGGCATTGCTACCTACCTAGGTACCTAGGTAAGTAGGTACCGTCCATGCCGAGGATGCCAAGCTATTCCACCTCAAATCGACTCCCTGCCCTGGCGCAAGGACCAAAAAGCCCCAGTTTTCGGAAATAATAATTAATGGCCTCGATCCGCCATGAGTTTTGTTTGGCACACCTACGGGGCTGCTTTGCGGGAGAGGTTTTTGACCAGGTTTCAATGCAGCATGTTCACATACTATGTATGTATGTATGTATACCGCTACAACTTCAAACAAGTCACATGTTGGTGAGGCCGGGGGTGAGGGCCGTCTCAGATGACGAAGCTTCGCCAGCCAAAATGCCATGACTAGCAAATCTCAAGGTCCTCCTCGTTCCAGAAACCCCTCTTCAAGGCCTCTCCGTCCATGAAACCCATGCGCATAGCAGCACCCGACAATGCGATAGTGACTTTCGTTCTCGCCCGAGCACAAACGGCGTGGGACATCCAAGGATGATGATACAAACCAAGTCGGCGTCTTCCGTCTCCCGCGGCCACGCAACAGGTATAGAGCACATCTTCTTGGTCAGGGCCAGTCTCCGGCCAAAAAGCTGAAGCGAAAACTTTCCGAGACTTGGTAAGGCGTATGTCTGGAGGGCTGTGCATCTACGGGCATGGTGGGTTGGAAGTCTTGCTCCAAGCCCCTATGGTCGAACAGATGCGTGCCTCGCAGCGTTGTCGACGGCTTCCAGGTAGAGAGACGTCACCTTCAGATGCTATGATCAGGTCGGCAATGGCTGTTTGCCAGCACTGCAAACTGAACTCGTCATGAGGCAGAGTCTGGAGATGCTGCACGGACTGTATCCACTCCCAGCCGTCAGGGAGCCAATGTGACTGGGCAGTCACCTCCGCATGGCTTATCGAGCTCTGATATGCCAAGGCAGGGCCAGGGCCTCGTGAGACGATTTCGTCGACAATACGGCCTCGCACCAAGATTGAACTAACATGGTCTGGATCTTGCTCTGTCACGGTGGAGAGCCTGTCTCCATGAGGCAGCTTCCATGCCCACGTGAACTGGGTGTGTTCGCTTGCGTGATAAAGCGATCTGGTTGTTTGATCGGAAGGGTCGTATAGATCTGAAAACGCACTCGAGATTTGACCGGTCTAGGAGTACCTCCCAAGGACTCGGCCTTGCTCTGGACACCCAGGCAGTTGTACAAGACGTAACGGTCCGTGACCAGCCTCCATTAGATATCTCGCAACCTGCACGCCGACAGGATGTTTGTCCTCGCTCTGGGTAATCAATGGGTATTTGATCTCTGGCACGAGCGTCGTCCACCAAGCGCAAGGATCGCATAGACCTTGTCCCTGGCTTTCGTTGCGTGAAGTTGGCCTCGTCCGCCAACGGAGCGTGGAGAGGGGCAGCCCCGGTTGCCCGATTGTTATGTCTCGCCTCCGACATGAGCCACACAGCCGCATGTGGAAGGGTCATCTTCCACAAGGCCCCTGGCGAGTTCCTGGCTTGGGCAGATGGATCTGCTTTGCGGGATCGCGGCAGTCGAAATGGTACAGCCACATCATGTAACCCAGCGCTCGCATTGTTCTTCGCGACAAGTACGAGCTTGGACGCATCTTCTTTCCAATAAGGAAGGTTGAATTATGGCACGCGAATGTGTACTCTGGGATGATCCAGACCCTGCTGAACCACGGCCGCTGCATGAATCTGGAGAATTCAGGCCAGAAAAGGATGCCGGACATCAGGAAGATCAAAAGCGGCCCAGGGCTTGGAAACCGGACTTCAGATTGTCGCAGTGATGCCCGCGATGCCCGCTGCTTCCCACACTTCTTCAGGGACATTGTGAATGCGATCCAGAGTAGAGAGCACTTCTGGAGCTGAGCCTGCGCCGACTGGTTCTGCCATCGAAAACGTTCGGTCCATCATCCGGACTTGTTGTTGTTCCTTCTCAGCCAAGTCCTTCGCCGTCGGAGCCTAATGAATGCAAAGAGCATCAGCCCACAGAATTCTGCTGGTGCTTGAACTGCGCAGCCGGAAGAGCGCCGAGTGGAGGGAGGTTTGGAGTTATCCTGGCTTGTCGTCCATTGCAGGAGATGTTGACCTTTCCTTCCTGACTGCCGTCGCCCCAGACATACGAAAGGGCGGTATAGGAGAAGGAAGGCTGGATGACGATGCATATGATGGAGACGACAGCAGATCTCGTCATCTTCTGAGTCTGCCGGTAGTAACTCAGTGACGCGGATGTGGTCCGCCGTTTCTAGAGGAGTGTAAACATAGTTCTGCGGATTCAATTGCAGCTTGAAGCCTTGCTCAAGCAATTGCCTCTTGATGACTTGAAGAAGGGAGAACGACAAATGCAAAAGTGGAAAGCAAAACGACCAAACAGCAACACCTAAACCACGTCGCAGACAGCCCAGAAAGGAAGTCCACATTGGCAAAGAATGAGCTTGAAGTTGGAGAGATGGAATATACATCATCTGCTCGAATTGCTCGACATCTTGACCATCAGGACCTTTGGAAGATAGGCGCCTGCACCGCCTCAGCCGCAGAGACCTGTTTCAAAGATCCCTGCAGGCAACCAGGAAGCATGGAGGCATCTTAAAGAGGGTGGTTTCAGCGGACGAAGCCGCCGCAACCCCTCTACCCATGTCGCCGACGGGCATCACCTTGAAAATTACCTTCAACAGGAGGTGCAGCCGCCGAAGGTACCTCGTCCTCAGCCGCATTGCGCAAAGAGCGACTTGCCTTTGAAGGAATCCTCTGGCAATGGCAGAGTTGAGATTGCAGAGTGCCTAGGAGTATGGCGTTGGCGCTTGGGGGCCGTTTCGGGCGGAGATGTGCCGAAAGAAGGAAACAGACAAACATGCCTAGAGAATTCATGTCATTGGAAACATACTATGGGCCTTGCCTCGTGATGATACACTGGTATGGAAGTATCTGTGTACGTCGTTCTCTAATCCTTCAGGCTCCAGTTTAGGGCATACCATGAGATACCCAATAAAGCACTCGTTTCCGCGTTGGAGGGACGCCTCTCTCACTCAGGGCCCGAGCGACATGACGAAGCGTTGGTGGAAGTCTGACTCATCGTGAGGCCCCAGCGCATTAGCAAACCAGTCCTTCATCTCATCAGTGAAAAGAACCATGTAGTTTTGATCGCTGTCGGGAGTTCCCCCAGCCACTGTGCGGAGTTAAGTCAGATTGCTGCACAACAAGTGTGAAAGGGAGCAATATTTACCAAGACCGCAGATGCGAACAGACTTCTCCCCAGTAGGACAGTAACAGACCATGGAGCCTGAGCGTCCGTACCAAGCGCTGAGATTGATATCCACCCGGTAGTCTGCTCTGTTGATGCGGCGTAGTGATGCTTCATCGAGTGTCCCAAAGCACACGGTTCGCTGGTTTGGCTTCAAGAAGTCCGTGGATGGCTTGGTTATGGCATTCAAGCCCTTCATAGAATAGTTAGCTTTGGAGTCTTTCGTGGGGAAGATTCACATACGTATTCCCTATGGATCTTGGCTTGCACCTCGAGCGACTGTCGTGACCAGTACATTTTCCAATTACTCTGCAACCCTTCCTCGGAGCAGTTCAGGTTGTACCCAACAGACCACAATAGATCAGGTCGACCAAGTGCACCAAGATCTTGGTCACGAAAAAAGGCTAGCTGTGGGGGTTTGATGGCGTGCTCTGGGTCGTCATCCTCAGGCTTCTCGACAATGCGAAAGACCGCAAGATCCCATGGACGATGGACGGCAATGAGCTGCAGCGCGAATTGGGAATGCATCGGGACACCTATTCCTGGTTAGTGGTAGACACACACTCATCTGTATAATATACGTGCCTGGCTCAACGCCCAAAGCATCAGTAAGCGCAGCTTGGGTGGCCACGCCCCCTTGACTACCCAAAGTGACGTTGTAATGTCGAGCAACGTCGTCGAAATCCTCTTGCTTCTTGGGCCAATCTATGAAGTGCGCGCATGTAATGACGGCGTCGACATTGTTGTAGGCAATGCGAAAGCCGGACAAGGTTGCGGTGGGAGGACTGACACCCGCCCTTGGAACTGTCACCTGCGCTGCTGCCAGACCGGGCATCATCAATTTGCGCAAAGCCTGCTCCGGTGTCAGCCTGACTCTTTCATCTTCGGGAAGAGTGTTGTTGAACTTGCCCTGCGGCCTCCCTGCTTTTTGGCGATGCTGTCGATTTGGTCAGGAATCCACACAAATTTCCCATTATCAGCTAGAGGGTGAAAGACAGACAGCTCTGCAGAGCCACTCTTCGTTGCAGTCACTCCGCGGAATTTCTCGAGAGGTGGGGGTGTTTTTCCTGGTCCAGATGTCGAATCGGGAGAGACTGGTATTCGATCTGGTGTGACTGCTTTAGCCTTTTCCATGGCAGTGTCGTGGTACCAAGCCTTCTTCAGAGGTGGCCAGACGTAGAAGTACGGCAGTAAATCGTCTCTGGTTTTGATGGCGGCTGGTTTTTCATCAGACTCAAGGAGACGGATCAAAGGAGAAGAGAAAGAGCTTTTTGTGGGGAGTTGCGAAGAGGAAGAATCTTGTTGATGGGAAGAATCCTTTTGAAGAGTTGGCAGGGACATGTTGGACTCCCTGGCAGTCATATGCGTATGAAGACAAGGCGGTAGGCGCGATCTGCGTCCTGATGTTTGCTTCTCTGCTGCGACCCGCTCAGGCGAGGCAGTGGACAAGGAAATGACGAAGTGGGAGAGTACCTAGGTAGAGAGTAGAAGTCACCAGAGCGGTTTCCCGACAGAAATAAATAAGAGTCGGTGGCTTGGAACCTTCAAGTTGTGCCCGCTGTGAGGACCTGGAATTCTGTTTCGATCACCCAGTCATGATTGGCTCGGGGGGCAACGCGGGTAGTTCCGTGATGCGTCACGACCGCGCATTAGCCGAAGCAAGCCGAAGCAAGCAGGAGCAAGCAGGAGCAAGCAGGAGCAAGCAGGAGCAAG